GTCCTGTTAGCACAGGCCTTGTGTGAATACTGAACCAAGGACCTCGAGGATCATTGTTTTGTTACACTGTGTATTCGTAAATGGTTGGGGTTCTTTTTGGTCTTGATCTTGACTAGGAGAATGGTAAGGCTATACACACTGGACTAGAACTGCCTTCTGATTTCACTCAGCAATTATTTATCTGGGCAGGAGTGCCACATAGTGGACAAAATGAGTTCTATGACAAATTCAGTATAAAATAAGATCCTCTTAAATTCAGGAAGAAAGAGAAAATTAACTGCCTCAGTATTGTTGTTTTCAGTGTCTCAAAAACTTTGGAAGAATATTAGACTGCTGACTAAATCTTGAAAATAATAATCAGAAACAGAAAAGGCTATAATGTGGGTGGAGCAGAATGCTACCAAAAGCATGGTTCCTCACTGAAATACACTAAAATCAGTGGGTTATTGATAAATTTGATTAATACAATTATTATACTTAACCTTATCCTTCTTTATGCAGTTTATAGGGAACTATGTTTTAGTCACTAGATGGTGCCATATAGCTTGTGTAGTTGCCAGAAGTGCTAATGGAACAGGTTTTCTGGGAAATTCTTGAAGTGCATTGAAGCTTGCGATGAGAGCTTCCGAAACATTGTTGTCTCATTCAGACATGTTAGAGGTGTGAGGAAGAGGGAAGTACATTACAGGAATGCTTGAACCAAATCCCACAGCCCAACCTTTTAACCACGTGTTTCTCTTGGCCTCACTTTAAACACTCAAGGAATTTTAAAGATGCAGTCCATGACTTTATCACCACAGAGTTGTGACCTGATTTTTTTTTGATTTTCCATAAAGCAGAAGGCTAAAGGTCACTCCCGCACAATTATCGACAAAGATGGATGAAACAGATGATAGTAACCTCTAGAAACCTGTGTTTTAGTTTTACCCGTATTTTGAAGCTCAGTTTACTTTGTCTTTGTACTTTCAGTGAAATGAGAAATCTGTATATATTCATAACATGTATTTTCATTGAATTATTTCTTTATAAAGTATTTATGAACTTATGCCATGTATCATGAAATGACTTTAGAGTTTTAGTTTTATGAGGTAAATGGCGTATTGACATAAGGTGCCTTAAACTAAAGTGTCAGATATTTGCTCCATTTGTAACACTGTTATTAAGTTTCATTGCCATGTAAATGGCAGAGACTGTGCTAAGAGCACTATAAAACAATTCCAAATATTTCTATTGGGTTAAAGTGCAAATGTGCAGTTTCTTCTAAAGGGTCAGCCCAGTATTCTTCCCCTTTACTCAAACAGTTATATTAGCAGGAAGTGTGTGATTATACTTCTGCATCAGTCCAACATTTATTGGGCATTACAGAGTGCATAAAATGAACTCTAAAATCTTTTAGTTTTTTGTATACTGCTCCCTAACCACCATTTAGGAATTACACTTGTCGGACATGTCAGACACTACTCTAATTAACACTATTTGACTAGAGTGAATCATAAGCTACCTTATATTGCATATTCAGGAACAGTGAGATCAACTCACCCTCCTACACTTCACACGCTCCACAATGCTCTACTTGCGTAACGTTATAGCTGCGAGGAGATGGCACTGATTTACAAATGTTCAGTTTTTGGATGCAAGAGGGAGAGTGGTCACTCTCTATATTCTGTTCCAAATAACAAGACCAAATAAAAATGGCTCAAATTTCTTTCTGGGGTTGAAGTGACACCCAGTACAAGAGCCCAACCGTTTGTAGCAAGCATTTTATGGGCAACTCACTTGAAATTTGGGCTCAATACAGCTCTGAATTTGCCAGCCGTGAACCCCCCCAAAATGGAGATAGCATGCCAGTATAATTTTCATCCAGCTCGTTGCAGAACTTTTGATTAGCTGGCTAGCAAACAGAAATCTAAGGTGTAGGCAGTTAGATTTGCCTTTCACCGCCAATGTTTCTATTAGTCGACATGCCTTCACATTAGAATCCTTTGCACCAAAAGTTGAAATGGTTTGAACTTTTTCCAGACGTTCGATGGAGCATCTTTTCTACATACATTGGGAGACCGTGTTTCTGACGCTTCATCGGCCTCTAGTGTGTTGGCACCCTGGGCGGTTACATTTGACGCAGAGTCTGTCAATCAATCTGTAGGGGTCCACGCCCACACAGCAGAGTGGTAAAAGGCAGTAGAGAAAAAAGAAAATATAAAACACTCCTTTTAGTGTTCTTTTTGGTGGAAAAAATTCGAAGGTGACTGAAATTTAGAAATTGTTTGCTGAAATATTTACTTTCACAGATTTAAAAACAAAACAACTTTTCAGGGCCTTTAAGGAGACTAACTATCTGTTTTTCATGTTTGCAGCCTCACAGGTCTCTTTAATAGAAACTGGTCATTTAAATCATATAACTGTAATAACTCAGTACTTTTGCTTTTGATGCTTAAGTAGGTTTAAAAGCAAGCAGTGTGGTACCTTTGTACTCAAGTAGTAGATTACATTAGCACCGTGTCCCTAACAGCAAGCTTTAACTACAGTTCAAGAACAATTGGGTAAATTAAATAGTACAGTTAATAAAATAGTAAATATTTATAATAGATACAACAATTATCCTACATCAGATAACATCAGTTATTTGGTTAACCAACTGACCTTAGTGGTACCTGAATGATATGGCTCTCTTGGCTAAATAATGTAGAAAAATATAGCATTTCAATTTTTTGTAGCACTATTCTATTTTGTTTTGTTTTTCTCAGCCACCTGAAACACAATCAAATCTTATGTTTCCCCCTACAAATGTGACAATAAACAGTTTTTAGAGATCCCTCCTTTTCCCCACTTCATGGATGAAGTTCTCCTCATCTCTTTTCAGGTGGAATGGCAGAGTGAGTCCACACGTCAAAAATAGAAACAGGGCGTTTGTCAAAAAAAGCATTGTGATTTGCCACTTATAGTAAGTGTAAATAGCTTCACTGATTATAATAGGAGCATTTTGGTTTTAGCTTTTAGGATAAGGTCTGAGAGGATTTCTACTTTTACTCAAGTGTACAGGATAGTACAAATATGCATATTTACAAATACCGTTATATATACATATTCATACTTATGGGAAAATGTATATAAAAATGATAATTTCTGGAATATACAAGGGCTTTTAACAAGACCTTTACCTTACAGATCTGAAAGTTGTGAATCTATGTGAGCATATACAAATACAGTCACAATTAATTTATATTATTAAAGTTGGCACACTCTGGTTTGCTTGAGTGTATATTTAATATATACATGATCATTACAAAGGTGACATCAGGTGAAACTCTCCACAAGTTTAAAGAAGTTAAGGAAAAAACATCTTTGGTCTGTTTTGGGAAGGGATTAAACCAGGTCTTTGGGTGTTTTTTCCAGTTTTCTCCCCAGTTTAGTAATATCCACTTCCAACCACTTGCTAGGGCTCCCCCAATCACATGATACCACCAGAACTAGGAGATCAAACTCGTTAGGGCTGTTAGGGCCAATGCTTAGACGATTGCACTACTCGGGAGCCCTATGTGTTTTTAAATCAATCAAACTCAGTTCTGTTAAAGTGAACCTGAAAGAGAACCAGCTGCAAATGACATCATGCTTTTTGTGTTCACAATTTAAGCGAACCTGGTTCTCTTTTGGTCCTCCTTAGCATTGATGAGATTTCAGACCAGTTGTTGTTTGTACCACAACTCCTTTAGAACTCAGACCCCTCCTAGGAAACATTGAACTTTAGGTAACTTTTGGTAAAATACTTCAAATACATGCTAAGCACTTAAAAATGATTAAACAATCATTGCTGTTATTATTATGCTAGTATTATTAACATTATAATATTTTGTGTCACCATTAAATTACAGCTGTAAGCATCTCCAGTCTGCATTACAGTAATTTCAATTAGAGAGGCACTACCAGACACACCTACTGCTCTCATATTATAGTGCAAAAGTAGAAAACATTTGAGCTCTAAATTACCCTGCATGTCTGCTGCAGTGGACTCCATTTTCCACAGGGCTCGAGCTAAGTCCTGCGCATTCCACTGAGAATGTGTTTGAAAGTACTGTTGTGAATTTCCACGTTCAGTGTGAAAGCAACGTTGCATGCGTGCCTAGCATCAGCCTGAATCCACATGAGGCGCTGAAAGTGTGAAAGCACTCTTAAGACTAAATTTCAGTGCCAGTATAGTTCAGTACTAAAAATTCAGATTAGCTTTTATGTGGGTCTAAGAAACCAACTCTAAGGCTACATTCACACAGCAAATCTGATTTTTTCTTCATACCTGACACAGGTGTGCAAAAAACACAGTGAATCTCACATTTTTTAGTACTGAATTGGGACACTTTCATATGTTGTGTTAAAATTCGGTATGTATCTGATATGTGGTAATGCAGCTCCGCATATCGAATGCAGAGTCTGAATAGCCAGATCAGCATTCATGCAACTTTTACATCAATCCAAACTGACATTCACAGTAATTTCACGCTGGCGAGAAGGAACGGTATGGAGGATTTCAGTGGTGGGATAGTGAGGTAACAGACCACATAAACATGGGATGGTGTTTCTGCACAAACAGGATTAGAAGCCACTTATCAGAACCCTTCCAAGAAATTAAAAAAAATGCCCAAACACGGCCATAGGAGAATGTAGCCATTGTCAGCCATTGTTCCATGTGATGCATTGTTCGTTTGTGCATGCAGGTCAGTTTAGGAGCGTGATCTGTTCAGAACAATGTTGATACAGGTCACGTTAAAAAAGATATTGTGAACAGCCTAACAAAAAAATGGATTTTGAAAACTTTTACCTGCGGTGTGAACATAGCCTGAAAGTCAGACAAGGCCATGGATTATGTTTTCAAGACCTTAAAACTTCATAGTGAAAATAGTAAATAGAAAAAAATAGCGCTTTAGTATTTTTTGTCGCAGAGAGACCGTCATTCATATGGCAGCTAATAAGCTTCTCTAGGTTCTTCAGGTTCTCTTGTGTGGAGATTTTCACATGCGTTTGTGAACGTGGACAATATTGTGGCAGTGGGGGCAGGTGTGTTCTATGTCCTTACAGGATTCTACACAGAACGGAAGCAGGCAGCACGGCCAGATCCTGCAGAGAGAGAACAGAGGAACCATAAAGGTCTGTATTTGGGTGAGTGAGGTGTGTGTATTCATGTGAGTGTATGTCAGGGTATCTCACCCGAGGAGTAAGAGGGTTCCAAAGATAGTCCAGGTCAGAGCTCCATTGACAGCTCTGGTGACTGTGGCAATTTCCCGCTGGCAAAATTGACACCTTGTCCTCCCAGGTGTATCTTTCAGTTGGGGCTGCACCACTAGAAATGCACAATGTACATTTCAGTTTTCAGTTCATATTTTGAACAAATATAATATTGAAAAATTCATCAAATGTTGACCTAGGAACCAAAAATCATATTGAAATCGAAAATGTGTATCTTCACTCTGTTACTCCTGAAACATCATTCACAGAACAATTCTACAAAATATTGACTCATACTAGCTTTTTGACAGACATTTTCTGACAGGATCCCTTAAAATATTCACAATTTTTTGCCAAATCTTAAAAATAAATAATCAACACAGTGCAGGAGTGGCGTGAACACGCAGTATTTCTATGTCTTTACTTAAATAAGGACACAGAATAGATCTATTGAATATTGTTATAAATGCAGAATATATAAGTACATAAACTGGTCAAGCCAATGTCTTGATTTAAGTCCATGGCATGCATTTGACTTGTTTTTGAGTAAAAGCCCAAACAGCCCAGACTGCTCTTTACTAGTTACAACCACACCCTAAGAGTTCTTATCATTTAAAAAGGTCTCCTATAGCAATAAAAATCTTACAGAATGTAAGGTTGTTGTTAATAGTACAGTTGTCAGTAGTTCGGTGAAAAATCTAAATTACGTGATTAATGCAGTGGATCAGCCAACACGTATGATATCTAACATGTGCTTCTTAAATTTACAACAGGAGATGCTAGGCTAACCTTGCTAACAAACACTGGAGTAAGACTATCATCTGTCTCATTTTCATAAAATGCCAAAATCTTAATTTATTAAAAGCTGTGAATGGTGATTTTCTTAGGCTTTGTTATGTCGCTCTCTCGGCCATCTGATTTTAATGATGTCATCTTCACTGGGTGAATGCTGTGTGAAGAGCACACGCTGGCTTTATAGGGAAGTGTTGCATTGGTTGTTGGGTTTATGTTCACTTTAATACTTAATTCAAGAGGTTTGCTTCTAGAACCACTTAGATAACCGGATTTTAGTTTTGTGTACTACATGCCCTAGACTATGCAGCTTGGTCAGGACATTCAAAAACATTCTTTAAAAAATAAATAAATAAACCAAAAAAGGTTCCTATAATTTGATGATTTGAATATTGACTTGAGCTGATTTTTACTTAATTTACTGGAGAACTGTTATCTCAAATATAGACAAAGACTCATTAAAAAATTACACACACACAGTGAAAACTTACCCACAGGGCCGGGGGTCTGCTGCACCACTGTTACAGGCTGGATTACTGCAGGAGGAGGTTCTATTACCATATAAGATTGAGAAGGGTCTACAACCATCATAGGTGGATTAGGATCTGCTACCATCATAGGTGGAGAAGGGTTTATTACCATCATAGGTGGATTAGGATCTGCTACCATCATAGGTGGAGAAGGGTCTACTACCATCATAGGTGGATTAGGATCTGCTACCATCATAGGTGGAGAAGGGTCTACTACCATCATAGGTGGATTAGGATCTGCTACCATAATAGGTGGGGGTTCTGCTACCATAACAGGTTCTGCCATTACTACCGCAGGTTCAGGCACAGGCTGAAGTATTATATCCATGTTGTATATGGGAGGGGAGACAGCAGTCTATTCTGATTCTGATACACCTGTGGAAGGATAAAAAATTGCTCAACTTTCAAGCGTTCGCAAACACAAGTACTCATGTGTTGCAGAGGAACAATAAGGTGACATTAGTTGAGAGCACACTTGCTAGGGCTGCCATGATACACATATGTTTTGTATTGTGGTAAAAAAAAACAGTATAGATCCTATTGCGAAGTCTGGGTTGCCCCTGTGACGTACATACTTGCGTGCACTTTCAGACAAATGAATTGACAGACTGTCACGTATCACCCAGAGGAGCTGGTCAGGTCACATTTTACTCGGTCCTGCTGATAAATGATGTGATCGAACCTAATGATCTAAAAAGCAGATCTTTTGCTAGACGATGTATAGTGTGTGAGAGACGTAAGTAGCTCATGTATGAGTAAGTGCAGAGGTTAAGCCGAGCACATTTGACGCTAACAAAACTAAGCATCCTAGTCAATCTATATATTACCTGTTAATCTATCCACTTCCCTTGTGCTAATCTAATCTATTCCGAACATACGCCTGTAGTGACATTGGAAGGTATGGTATGTGGTTAATGTGGCTGCTAAGTAAGATGCTTCTACTTGTGCCTTCTCCACTGGTCATTTAATTTGGATGAAAGTAAAAAGTAAGTACATACAGGTAACTGTTATAGACAAATTGATTACATGTACAGTTACATTATGTGTAGGAACTGTTGGAAATGAAGAGCTTGCATTTCTGTATTTTTGTAACTGCGCTAAATATATTCTCTGCGATTTCTGTTCTGTTGAGTACTTCATTGAACAGTAGTATTTTTACATTAAGCATTACAGTTACAATTTGACATACCCATCTTACTTTTATTGCACACTGCCACACCCTTGCATATCTTCTATCAGTTTGATAATAGTGTAGAATTTGTTTTGTAGTTTTCAAAAAAATGCAAACTGTAAATACAGTTTAGCGTTAAAATGTAACCCAACAGTATAGCTTTAGCATCTTAATCTACCTTTAAAAAAAAGTTTTAATAAACCTTTCATAGGGTTCTGCTAAAATTCATATTGAATTTCTCTAAAGCATTAATATTTTCTGAATAAGTCCAAATTCTGCAGAATTGACATTTGGAAACCTGACTACATTTTTGTTTAATTCTACATAGAATGAAATCTTTTTCAAAACCACACACACAAAAACCTTTCTTACCTATATGGAGGATAGTTAGATGATTCTCCTGTGAGTGTTGCTGACAGACTAAGAGACAATACAGATAACACCCCACTAGTACAAGAGAAAAAGGAAAGAGAAACGAGAGATAGTAAGCAGGCTGAAACCTCATAAAATAGGGTAAGGATACTATCACCACCTTCGCAGTGATTGTATCAAGAAAAGAATGCCACACTGACAACATCTCTTGAAAAGCCATTTGGTTTGGAGCAGGATTTTTGACCCATTCTAAGGGACAGTACACTTGCACGTATTGTTACGGTCTGAAATAATAATATAAAATAAAAATTATTTCACAAGAAGGAAAAACATTCTTAATTGTGAATAGAATTTAATGTAAAAAGATTTCATTCCAAGCGATTTTTGGCAATCCATGTAAGTCAGTTCATGATGTTTAGTAAAACCCAGCTGGTATTTTGAAATGACATAAAAAGAAAGAAAGAAAAACTGACAAAAATGGAGTTGCAAGGTCTCGATATGACAACGACGTATTCTGTTCCCAGTGATAGAAAATATTTAAGTAATTGCATTGCTTTACTATACTTATAGTATATACTTATAATGCAGTACATAGTGAGAAGGTATTTTAATCTAAAGTGATACAACAGCGTCCTTTTCCTGGCACCACTGTCTCCTGTCTCCTCCCATGTAGCTCCACCATATCATTAGTGTTTCCACTCTTGTGTGGTTTGTAACTCCTGCCTTTTCAGGTGGTTTCTGTTCTTTGTTATAAGTAGCTTTCATGTTTCTGTTTGTCTTTGTCTCGTGTCATTTGCTTCATGTTTAGCTTGCTTGTTTGTTTTGGGTTATTGGAGTTTACAGAAGACACATTGCATTTGCAGCCAAGATTATCATTTTATTTTAGATGTCTTTTGTAAATGCTCACGTAATATATTCATTAACAGTGGCCACCATCTGAATTTCTGATTTGTTTAGCATTTATTAATAGATGTAATAGGAAAATACATCTATAGTAACACATGTATGTTGTTACTTTAGAAAATAGTAATGATTAAAATCTTTTTAGTACATGATTTGTTAATTGTGAAGAAGACTTTATTTCATTTTAAAGTAATAACTTGTATGTCCTTTTTAAAGTAGTGTTTATATGTTAATTTACAATGAATAACTCCACATGCCTGACTAGCTCATGATTGTAAATGTCTTATAAACTGTTGTTATTATTAAGTGTTACCCAGACATGTTAGAGGTGCGTGGAGAGAGGTATGCTAAAGGAATGCTTGAACCAGATTCTACAGCCCCGCTTATTGGCCACACAGTTCTTCTGGCCTCGCTTTGAACCCAAGGAATTTTAAAGATGCAGTCCATGACTTCATCATCACAGACTGGTGACCTGACTTTCTTGATTTCTGTAAAGCAGAAGGCTAAAGGTCACTCCCTCACAGTGTTGTCAACTTAGTGACTTTGTCACTGGATTTAGTGACTTTTCAAACCCCTTTAACGACTCTTTTTCAAGAAGCACGTAGCAAAAAATCTTGTGACGTTTTGGACAGATCTTAGCTGTTTTTCATAGAAAAGAGTTGCCAGAACTGCCCCACGAGTGAGAGTCACACTTATCTGCGTTTACTCTGTTCAGTCAGTGGCAGAGAGGCGGAGCAGCATGTTCAGTTGATGTAGACATAAATGACTGCCTGTGCAAACAATGTTGTAAAGAACAAACTGATTTGTATTGTTTGTTCCTCTTCGGTTTTAATGTAAACAATTTAATTAGATTATTTTGACCGTTACCACTGTCTTACCAATTATGATCACACTGAAAATGAAACATGTTTCTTGTGGTTTGATACCTAGGCAGAGACTGTGCTCTGTGTGAAAGAAGAAAGATATTCTGTGACTTCTAACTTTGTCTCTGAGTTATCATTTTACATGTAAATACAGCCAAAATCAGTTATGTGAGCACAGAAAGTAGGAAAGAAGCACCCAGATGTAAAGGGCTGACAGCATCCGACGCTAGGCAGAATGCACATACGACCCAGTTACATCACGGAATTGCTAATTAGCGCATTATGCCATCTAGCAACATTTAGCAACTTTTTTGAGCAGACTTTAGCTACTTTCCATTGAAAGTAGTTGGCAAAACTGCAGGAGTCTCTCAAATTCATAGACAGACAGTGCAATCCATGATCCATTCAGGAGACAGCTGTCTAAATAGGCAGCATTTACGTGCTCTCAAGGCTTTCCCATTCTGAAGGCAGCATAAGTCAGCTATCTTCTAAGATCCCTTATTTTGACCAAATTTGAAAGGTGCATTGCGTGTCCCATGTTCAGCAGCCAAGAGTTCCATCGCTTCAGTTTAAAAAACATGGTGGAGGGAGCATTTCTTCAGACCAGTTTACAAAAGTAAGTTCTGTCTTTTGTCTTTACTGTTTTGACTGACTGCCATATTTGTGTGACATATTTGTGTTTGTAGATCACTAAAAACGGTTCCTGTGGTTAAATTTAGGCAGTTCGCTTGTCTAATGCGATCTGACAGGCTGTGTTTGTAACTCAATATGTGAAGTTTACAGTAGTTAGCTTAGCTGGTGGACTAGCTGTGCAAACACGCTGGCTTATCAGGACTGAAGAGAACTCAGTGTAAAATATTGATTGTTCACTGTTCAGTAGCATTTTTGTCTGTAAATATTTTGTCAGTTTGAGTCTATACCCTGAGATGCTGCTGCTAGTTTATTTTTTTTTTCTGTCTTCAGGGACTAAAGAGATAACAATTACAGAAGAGGACAGGTGCTGGATAAGGGTCTGAGGAAGAGGGGCTGCTATGGGGGGAGAAAACTTTGCCCTAAATGGCTGGAGGCAGCTCACTTTTCCAGCACATATGGGGAAAAATATGGTGTGAACCAGCGCTACAGAATCATGTTGTCCTGGAACAATGAAAAATACATTTACTGGATGATGCAAATGTTCTGAAATTATTATTATTATTATTATTATATTTTTGTACAACATTATAGGCAGTTTCTATGCTTTTTAGAGATGCAGGTTCCTAAAGGTGGTTGATGAATGAGTTGAAATGATTCACATGATATTGGAGCACCAAGTCGAGAATAAAACGGAAGATACAACTGCTTAAAGCAGCCTGTTCTTCATACACAGTAGACTCCCACAACAGTGTCAAAGCAAGGAAAGCAGCTGCTGCACAGGAGGCATCCTTATTCACTGAGGTAATCCACCTTTACAGTCACAGGTGAGTAGATATTACATGTATACCGCAGTAAAAGCTATGACATATGACGGTTCTGAAGAGTGTCCCGAATGCAATGCCTACCAAGATTCCTAGGTTAAAAGGTGCCTTTTAAGGCAACGACTAGTTAGGCAGCTGCCTCCAGAATGGAACGCACTACGGGACTGTTGAAACAAATGATACTAACCTGTTTCAGTTTTACCTGTATTCTGAGGCACCATTTACTTTGTTTGTGTTTGTACTTTTATGAAGTAAATGACATTGGATTGACATAAGGAGCCTTAAACTAAAGTGTCAGATATTTTTTATTTGTAAAACTGTTGTGAAGCATTTTTGCCAAGCAAACCGCCTAGAGGTGTAGATAATGCTTTTACTTAAGTTCACTGAAAAGCAAGTAATGTGGTACTTTTGTACTCGAGTAGAAATACAGACAGAATTTGTACTTTTACTTACATAAGATTATACTAACACTGTGTCGTAACAGCAAGCCTTCAGGATATCTGCACTGTGAACAATAGTATAGTTGTGTGAATTACAGTTAATTATAAATATTTATAATAAATACAACAATGGAAATGCATTATCAGTAGCCTATATTTGGTTAACCGACTTAGGTACCTTAGTGGTGCCTTGATGATAGTAGTTTACCTTAATAATGCAATTAAATGTACCATTTAATTTATTTGCATCGTTATTCCACTGTGTTTTGTTATACCAAACCATCTGAGACTAGATTAAATCCTGTTTTTACCAGAAGTAACCAATTTGTTTGGCTGTAGAGATTCCTACTTTTCTCTCCTCATCCTTTTTGAGGTGGAAAGGCAAAGCAATGCCATGCGTCAACAATAGAAAAAGGGCATCTATCAAAACAGTACATTGCATCACACTGTGTTACGTTCTGCCACTTACAGCTAATGTAAACAGCTTTATTGAATAAAGTGGGAGCATCTTGGTTTTGTCATTGTCACTCGCTTCCATTACTTGCTATTAGACCAAGATTTGAGGGTATTTTTGCTTTGAATTAAGTACAGAACATTTGTACATTATATACCTGCATCAGAATCTTCCACAGAAATGATTAATGGGGTCTTAACTAGACCATCTTACCGATTAGTTTCTTCTATTTTTGCATATTTGTCACAATTGAAAGTTTCAGATCATCAAACTACTTTTAATATTAGACAAAGATAACCCAAGTAAAATGTTTTTTTTTTTTTATTGATTCATTTCTTGAAGGAAAATTGTTGTTCAGCTTTACTTGGTGAAAAAGGAAGTGCCCCCTCAGCTACTAGCTGACTCTTGGGTTCATTATCACTAGCCACACCCAGGCATGATTACTGCTGGAACAGTGGAATCTAAATATCATTTACATGGAACCTGTCTGGCAGTGTGAAGCGGCTAGAAGGTCTCAAGAAGTAGCATATATTGCCACATTCAAAAGAGATTCGAATACAGATACAAAACTAGTTAATTGAAATCTGCCAGTCTGGAAAGGGTTACAAAGCACTTGCTAAGGCTCTGGGACTTGAGCGAACCACAGTGAGAGCTGTTATTCACAAATGGAGAAAACTTGGAACAGTGGTGAACCTTCCCAGGAGTGGCCGGCCTTCCAGAATTTCACCAAGAGTGCATCAATGACTCATCCAGGAGGTTACAAAAGAGCCCAGACAGAAAATCTGCAGGCCTCACGTGCCACAGTAGGAAAGACATTGGGCAAAATGGCATCAATGGGAGAGTTGCAGACGCAAACCACTGCTAACCTAAGAAGAACACAAGGGCTCGTCTTGCGAGTCTTCTCTCAGCCTCGGCTTTGTTCCAAAATCTTCTTCTCTCAGCCTCGGCTATGTTCCAAAATCTCTTAAATTAGGTGTAATTAAACTCCTAATAAAGAAACCTAGTCTTGACCCCTCTGAGTTATCAAACTATAGACCTATTTCAAATCTTCCCTTTTTATCAAACATTTTAGAGAAAGCCGTGGCAAAACAATTATGTTCCCATCTGCATAGGAGTAATATACATGAAAAATTTCAGTCTGGCTTCAGGCCTCACCATAGTACTGAAACAGCGTTAGTGAAAATTGTAAATGATCTTTTATTATCCGCTGACAAAGCAAACATATCCCTACTGGTTTTACTCGATCTTAGTGCAGCTTTTGACACAATAGACCATTCCATTCTATTAGACAGGCTTGAAAAACTAGTAGGAGTGACAGGTAAAGCTCTTTCGTGGTTCAAATCTTACCTTAGTGATCGCTTTGAGTTTGTTAATGTAAATGGTGAACCATCAGCTCTCACAAGAGTAAAGTATGGTGTTCCACAGGGCTCTGTCTTAGGACCCATGTTATTTACCTTATATATGCTACCACTAGGTACCATCATTAGAAAACATGGCATCAGTTTCCACTGCTATGCCGATGATACACAGTTGTATATTTCAGCTTAACCAGAAGACAAAATTGAACTTAATAAGATAGAGGACTGTGTAAAAGACATTAAAGAATGGATGTCAAGTAACTTCCTCTTACTAAATTCGGACAAAACAGAAGTTCTTCTTCTTGGTCCAAAAGCTGCTAGGGATAATCTGCCTACGTTTACTCTTAATCTCGATAGTTTCTCAGTTGCACCAGGCACATCTGTAAAAAGCCTTGGTGTCACGATTGATCCCGATCTGGCCTTTGATGAGCATATTGCCAATATTACCAGAATAGCTTTCCTCCACCTGCGTAATATCGCTAAATTAAGAAATGCACTGTCGCTACAGGATGCAGAAACATTAGTTCATGCCTTTATCACATCCAGGTTAGATTACTGTAACGCTCTGCTTTCTGGTTGTTCCAGCTAAAACCTTAACAAGCTTCAGTTGGTCCAGAACGCAGCCAGAGTTCTCACCAAAACCAGGAAATTTGACCACATTAGCCCAATTTTGTGTACCTTACATTGGTTGCCAGTTAAATTCCACATTGAGTACAAAATTCTTCTACTGACATATAAAGCTTTCAGTGGCCTTGCTCCTCAGTACCTCAGTGACCTTATTTCCTATTATCAACCGACACGCCCACTTAGATCACAAGGTGCGGCTCATTATTAGTACCCAGAATAAATAAAGTTACGTCAGGGGGAGGAGCCTTTTCATACAAAGCCCCCAGCTTTGGAATAACCTACCAGTCTGTGTTCGGGACTCAGACACAGCCTCCATCTTTAAGTCTAGGCTAAAAACTTACCTGTTTAGTCGAGCCTTTGGTTAATTAGTTTTCCTAACTGTCCCCCTCATCCCCCCCCTTCCCCCTACCCCCCCTAATATTCTGTGAGCTGATGAGTCAGAGATGGAACTTTTTGGAAGACATGACATCACATTCCACCATAAGAACATCATACCAACAGTCAAACATGGTGGTGGTAGTGTGATGGTCTGGGGCTACTTTGCTGCTGTAGGACCTGGGAGACTTGTCATAATTGATGGAACCATGAATTCTGCTCTCTATCAGGAACTCCTGAAGGAGAATGTCTGCTTATTAGTTTGTGATCTAAAGCTTAAGTGCAGTCAGGTTACGCAGCAGAGCAGTGATCTGAAGCACACAAGCTCTGTTTCATCCAAAACGAAAGTTTTGAAGTTGCAAAGTCAAAGGCCTAACTTGAATTCCACTGAGATGCTGTGACAAGACCTTAAACAGGCAGTTCTTGCTCAAAAACCCTCCGATGTAGCCGAATTAAAACAATTCTGCAAAGAAGAGTGGTCCAAAGTTCCTCCACAGTGATGTAAAAGACTCAAGACGCAAATGTTTGATTGACATTGTTTGGCCAAGGGTGGCACAAGCAGTTATCAGGTTTAGGGGCAGTTACTTTTTCATGTTTTTTCAGTTACTTTTTTTTTTTTTATGGGTGATTTTCAGTAAATGTAATGGTCATTTTAAAAGCTGCATTTTGTGTTTACTTTTATTGTCTTTATCTTACATTGAAATTAGTTGGATGATCTGAAACATGTAAATCTGACAAATTAGCAAAAATGGAACAAATACTTTTTCACAGCACTGTTTGTAGGTATCAGATAAAGTGTTACTGAATATACAATATAAAATCTATAGGCATCTGTAAGGATGTTCCACAAGACAAGGACTGTACACAAAATTATTTTAATTTAAGAGTGGGCACACTCTTGTTTGTTTAATATGTACATTATCATTATAATGATATTAGATATTATAGTGATATCTACACTTCAAAGGTTAGGAACAATCACCTAGAAGCAAACAGAGAGGAATCTTTTACTGTACTTCCCTATTCTCTGTCTGGTAAATGATGATTTCTGAAATTTTAATGTTCATCAGTTCTAGTGGCTGTTCTATGAATGTAAAGGTTATTACAGTTTTTCCTCAGTTGCTTGAGCCAGCCAGACAGAATTTGTAGTTCCAAAATTCACAAAAACCTATCTGTTCTCCAAAACAACACATCCAAAATGCTTTTACTGTTTTATAGTGGACTGTTGGGTGGATTTGCATGAGAGTTACAAAAATACACAAAATGTACATAAACTATCCACGAGTTTAAAGAAGTTAAGGAAAAACTTAAGTTAAAGGAAAAACTTTACGGGCTGGCTTCCCACACATGGAGTAAGCCTAGTCTTAGACTAAATTGCAGTGCCAGTAGTGGATTACTGAATCACTGTTAAATTTTTTGCCAAAGACTGCATACAGATTCATTTACTCATTATTAACCAGCACATTCTGTCCTTATTTCATATTGCAGTTAATAATCTTCTCTAGGTTCTTCAGGTTCTCTTGTGTGGAGATTCTCACATGCGTTTGTGAATGTGGACAACATTTTGGCAGTTGGGACAGCTGTGTTCTATATCCTTACAGGATTTCACACAGAATGGAATCAGGCAGAACGGCCAGATCCTGCAGAGAGACAACAGAGGAACCGTAAAGGTCTGTATGTGAGTTGTGAGGGAGGTGTGTATTTATGTGAGTGTGTGTGTCAGGTTGTCTCACCCGCAGACTAAGAGGGTTCCAAAGATAGTCCAGGTAAGAACTCCATTGACAGCTCTGGTGACTGTGACCATTTCCTGATGGCAGCAAGTACACTTCATCCTCCCAGGTCTGTCTTTCAAAGGGGGCCTCATTACTACAAATGCACATTTTACATTTCAGGTTAGAGAAATGCATATTTGTCAAACCAAAAGCAGATGGGTTGTCCTACCATTCCTGCGCCAAACAGAGTACGAATATTAATATGTAATTCAAGCGTAAAATGTGCACATTAGCAGCAACAGGAAAATTATTTCATTTAAAAAACAGTCCACTGCCACTTTAGTTTCAAAGCCACATTGTATGTAGAAAATTACAAAATTACAAAGACTGCATCCTTATTATGTATTTCAGTTTTTAAAATCACTTAATATTTCATACATTAGTATGAAAGTAGCATAATAGACACAGTCTTTTTGTGACACGTGAAGCTACCAGCATTTTAGCCACATTGACCAGAAAGATAAAAAGAGATTTCAGTAATTATGGGCTAGTCAGTGTTTTTTGTTTATTGACATTTTGTGTTTATGGAACACCACTGACACACAGCTGTAAACAGTTCAGTTTTGGTTTGGTTTGTAGCTCAGTTGACTGTTTATGTATTATATTTAGCACAAAAACTACTTGGCAATTGTTTGTTTTAAAGTAGTATTTGTATTTTTTGTTTTTATTTGTATTATGTGTTTACCTTAAATCTAGTTGCCCATTATTTATATACAGCTAAAAACTGAAGGACTAAAGAACCAAAAAAATGTATTCTGTACACCATATATGTTGTGCAGAAATACATTGCTGAAAACTGTTATCCAGAAATAAAAGATGGTGTTTTTGCCTTATGGTCATAATTATGACCAATTGTACTTCACTGTCCCACTATTTGTTTCTCAGTGTAAATGATAAAAGAGTATGTGTAACAGCACTGCTCTGAATAGTTAACATTTGTGTGCGTATATACTAAAAATGATCATTTTTTATTATATTACACCCAAATGCACATCATTAATTTACCGATAGAAACAATATTCAGCAAAAAGATGTTTTACACCTTTTAAGATTGAGACCTGGAGATCTGACTATATCGTATTACTAACTCTAATGAAACATACTTAATCATATATATGATTGACAGTCTCGTGAAAGGCTTCATCTCTTTTTTAAACGTTATTTTTTAATTGTTGCACTAGTGGTGAAGCCCTCCCTGTCTTTACTTCTGCCTCTTTAGAATGCTCTTTTTACCATGTTACTGACCTGTTGCCAATTAAGCTAATTAATTATGTTGCACAAGTTTTTTTTTAGCATTACACAACTTTACCAGTCTTTTGTTGCCCTTGTTCCAACTTTCTTGAGATGTGTTGCTGGCAACAAATTCAGAATGGACATATGGTTTTCAAAACACAGTAATATTTTTCAGTTTTGACATTTCTTATGTTTTCTTTGTACTATTTCCTTTTAAATGTTGGGTTTAAATGATTTGCACATCATTGCGTTTTGTTTTTATTTACATTTTGCACAGCGTCCCACCTTTTTTGGAAACAGTGTTCTAACATGTCTAGTGTGTGAACATGGCTTTGCAAATCTCTTTCAATCTGAAGTTCCTCCAGCAGGGAGGGCTGTTAGCATGCATGTCGACATAAATCTGCAATAGAAGCAGCTCCTGAATGCACTTGTATGTAATTTAATATGTAGTTTTATAACTTCTTCAACCGTTAATGTTAAAAAAGCATATACGTTTAAAATAGATATAAGTTGATCAAAGCTGCAGCAGACCACATGTATTTGTTTGAGGGGTGGTCAGAAGGGGAGGTACGATGTAATCAATAAATCACAATTTTTTAAACTAGAAATCATCATGCAAATTATTTTTAGATATTGACAATAAATCAATTCAATAAATACCAATATTGTTACAAAATATAAGGTCATAATGCGCACCAGGATTGTTTTCTGTCATTCTCTTGGCTTAAATAAATAAAGGAGACAAAACTGTCTGTCAATCACAAAATGACGTGAAAAGTTATCACCATAGCAATGTTTACACAACTGCATGCTGGAAATACATTTATATGTAAAACATTTCAGAAACCAATCAATACTGGGTCGAAATTATACATTCAGGGTCAAAAATATACAAACAACCACTTAGATTATTAATTTCCTGGTGCTGAAAGTTCCAAAATGTTTTTTAACTTGCCAAGGGCTCTTTACTTCCTGTTAGTGATCACGATTGAGTACAGCTGGTATGGTCTCTGTGCCCACATAAAAAGGGTTTGTTTGACAGCACTCATTGGGTTGACCAACACACAGTGCAGTGACAAAGTCCAAGAAGCTCAGTGCAGATCTGAGAAAGATGATTGGAATGTCAGAAATGTCTCTTGGAGCCATTTCTAAACAGCTGCAAATTCCAAGATCATCAGTTTGAATAATTGTATGTAAGTACAAGTTATTATGAGGTGTAGCCATGTTGCCCAGGTCTGGAAGAAGACCCAAATTGTCCACACGCTGCTCAGAGGAAATTAGTTTGGAAGGACAGGAACAACCCAAGAGCCACCAAGGCCTGCCGTGAACTGCCATTAAGGTGTTGGAACACCAGTGTCACTGTCAAGCGAGTTTCACATCATCATGGACTGAGAGACTGCCATTCAAGAAAGAATCCCCTTCTCCAAAACTGACACGTTCAAGTCCGACTAAAGTTTGAAGCTGACCACGTGGATAAAGTAAAACCTTCTGGAGAAATTTGTAATGTCAGGTGAGATGACTGAGTTATTTGGCCACAATGACCAGAGGTACGTTTGAATGAGTTAAGGTGAGGTATTTGATGCCAAGAACATTGTGCCAGTTGTAAAGCAATGGTGGCAGTACCATCATGCTCTGGGATTTTGCTGCCAGTGGAACCAGTGCATTGCACAAAGTGAATGGATGAGGACTGTCTTAGAATTCTTCAACATAACCTCAAACCATCAGCTAGACAGTTGAAACTTGGACACAGTTAGGTGTTCCAACAGGACAGTGACCCCAAACACACTTCAGAACTGCTTGTGGAATAGATAAAGCAGACCTACATTAAGCTGTTGGAATGGCCTTTCCAAAGTTCTGACTTCAACGTCTGCCTAAAAGTCAGGTCCAGGCCAGGAAGCCAACAAATTTAATTGAACTCTACCAATGCTGCCAAGAAGAGTGGTCAGATATGCATCTAGAATTCTGCCAGAAGCTTGTTGGTGGCTACCAAAAGCGCCTAGTCAAGACACAAGGGACATTTAACCAAATGTTAGGTGTATTGTATGTATATTTTTCACCCTGTATCGATTTCAGAACACCCCCCCTCCAAAAAAACAACAACTTGTGCACCAAATTCTTGCTTTTTTCTATTAAAAGTGTATGTTCTACATTTATTTTGCCCCCAAAATAGAAAAGTTCAAATAAATCAAAGAAAGCCCAATATTGCCATGACATGTCCATGATAAGTGTATGTAAACTTTTGACCACACTGTATATTGAGGTCGTATATAGCTGAGTGCTGCAAGACCCAATATCGATGAGTGCAAGATCCATTAAAAAAAACTACACACGCACACACGCACACACACACACACAGAGAAACGTGCTGTGTTGAAAACTCACCCACAGGGCCTGGGGGCTGCTGGATTATAGGTTGGGATATGGGCTGGATCACGGCAGGCTGGACCATTGCAGGCTGAACCACTACTATAGGTTCAGGCATAGGTTGAAATATCATAGCCATGTTGTATACAGGAGTGGAGACAGTAGTCTACACTAGTTCTGGTGCACCTGCGAAAAAACAAAAGCTAATAATAACTCCCAAAATCAGATTGGTCAGCTTGCGTTCAAAAACACAGGTTCTCAATGTGTAGCAGAGGAACAGACAAATAGTTGTATCTTTTCTGAGCGAAGTGTTGTATCTCTTGTTGGCCAGTTGGCCTTTATGTTATGGGAACACTTCATGATTGGACAAATACAAAGTGTTGGTCAGGAGATTGTGAGATTGATCCCCTGAGATGCCAAAGCCTTCTGTGACCCCACCATTTACTCAGTGTGATGCAAGCCAACAGAAATTGCAGTCAGAATTCTCCTCCAAGCATGTTGAGCTGTAGAATGATGTGCTAGCAGCAGTTTGACAAGATGCAGTGGGGCTTCATGTGTCTTGGAAGAAGCGTGTACTACCCTTTAGCCCGGTAGCATTGCGTGATATAGGAAGACCTAACTAATGACTAGAATTGGCAACAAATTAATTGGGGTGAAAATTGGGTAAAAAAACAAAACAAAACAAAACATTTTCCTTCTCCTGAAATGTTGCCATTTTGGATTTGTGAGATTTTTTTTTTCCAATATGGGGGTTGTGAGACATTACTTGCCATAAATTAAGTACAGTTACATTTCAGGCTATTAAAAATATTCGTGACATGAGACATACTGCCATGAACTAAAATGGTGGACACTGTTCTATTCCTAAAATGTTAGACTTTTGCCGACAAAATAAAAGAAAAATGACTTAACATTTGTTTTTAACATCTATATTGAAAACACAATATACTGTGTTGTAAAATCTGTATTGTTACATATACACATGCACTTTTGGACAAATGGGAATCTACAGATTGAACAGGCTGGCATTTGTCACCCTATTGAGCCAGTCAGGCCTAATTTTACTTTGTCCTGCCAACAGATGATTTAATTGAACCTAATGGACTACAAAGCAACTTGTTACGAAGTGACAGTGCGTGAGTAACCGAAGTGGCTCGTGAATGGGGAAGTACAGGTTGTTGAGGTGAAGCTGAGTGCATGTGACTATGAACAGAGGTGACTGTACACACCTTTTCATTTATCTACTTCCTGCATGCAAACTAATCTCAGCCTCAATATTAGCCTATAGAGATATCACGCACTTCATGTGAGAGTCCAGATTTAAACCCTAGAGATAGAGAATATTTGGGCTCACATTAAGCTAAAACTAGCTTGGCGATGTTTTTTAACTGTTTGAAGCCATCAGTGCTGAGCCAAACAGTATTGACTCTTCTTTCTGTAAAAAGAGTTTGTCTGCAAGTTTACCCACAAGGCTTCACCATTTAAAGAGATCAAGGGGAAAAGCTCTCCCATACTAACTTACTTTCTCTATTTGTTTAATGATTTGTGAAGATCATTAAAAGCTAATTTTGCCATTTTGGGCTTGGCCCATTTTTTTTTTTTTGGAATGAGAGTGTAGATTTACAGTTGTATGTGGTTAATGTGATTGTTTTGTAAGTTGGGCCTGTATTACAGGAACTTGCTAGTTCTGAAATCTTATCTGTTTAGTCACCATGACAAGTTAGGACTGAATTTAGGACTGCAGCTATTGCAGAACAACAGTTCTTAAGTTCATAACCTTAAACTCCAGATAAGAAAACTGTATTACAGAAACATCCTAGCTAGACAAGATTTCCTAAATACTGTCCAAACTCTAAGACCCCAGATGGTCTTAACTTCTGTTTTAACCGTGTTTCTATTGTTTTATGCAGTGCCAGACAGCACAGTTCACTGTAACTAGTATAGTGACGTTACATTTATCTACACTGAAAACGGTGCTTTGACCTTTTAAGTTTTTTTCCTAACAACATTTAAAAAATCCCAGACATTACGGTCTCCACCATTCCTCCTTATTAATGTTAACGTGTTAATGTTGATAAAAAATGAAATATAGTGATAGTGAATAATATTACAGTGTTAGTGAATAATTAGAAGACAGAGCTGAACCTGTGGCTGTTTATTAGGAGGATAATATTCTTAAATTCAGGTTTATTGTGCTTTAGTTTGACTGTATTTACATCAGTAACTGTAGCTGTCTGTCTAACTAACGATTATTTTGATTACGTGTTTGCATTTCAGCTTTGTGTGTATGATCGGCTGCTAGGTAACAGACATCACAGTTGATTGTCAACATTGATTGAACAGGTGAACATTTCCTAATTTGAGATAAGATGCTTAAGATTCCTAAATCAAGATTCAGGTTGCTTCTGTAATACGATTTAGGGAAAAATCTTATCTTGACCTGTCAGATCTTAAGACAAAAACAGAAAGTTTCTGAAATATGGCCCCTGGTCTACATTTATCTGCTGTGCATTGTCTGTCAGTTTGAATGAAAGAGTAAAAAGAATGTACATAAAGATAAATTACAAACAAGTTGATTACATGTACAGTTATATAATGTGTAGTGTTTGCTTGAAATGAACACTGTCACAGCCTTGAATATCTAGCGTTTCTCTGTCAATTCATCAGTTTGATAATAGTTTATAGAAGGTGTTTTTTTAATTGCAGACAGTTAAGCATTAAAAAAGTAACCACAATAGTATTGCTTCAGGATCCTAATCCACTTTTTTGATCTATTTGATTAACTTTTTAAAAGGATTCCGCTAAAAAGAATACCCTCTCCAAATTTCTTTAATCATTAATATTTTCTCAATGAGTCCAAACACTGCAAGTAACTCCAAACTGCAGTTTACATTCAGCTTCACACCATAATATCATAGCAGCACCTACTTATTATTAAGTTTTAGAAAAACAATGCATTTTCTAATGAAAACCTGATGACATTTTTGTTCATTTCGTATTATGAAGCGTTTCACAAGAAGTAAAAACATTCTTAGCTGTTATTTCAACCCCTTAAAAACTTATTACCTACAAAGGCTTATTATTTAGTAATTACATGGACTACAGTGCAAACTGGCAGAGATATTTTTTAGGTAATATAAGTATGTAATAAAACTTTGGGCTCACCGGTAGGGCCTGGCCATTTAAGGGGTTCAGTTAATGTAACATGATTTTTGACAACTTCTGTCAGTCAATTCATGTTGTATTGCAAAAGCCAGCTGGTATTTTGAAATGAGTTCATTTACATTTGGGTTTCCTCTAAATCACAGCAGCAATGACTTTTTATTAGAGCTGTTAGAGCAATGCATTTTCTAACTAAAATCACTTTTTTGTCCATTTTTGCATGGTATAAAGTCTTTTTCAAAACCACACAGAAACACCTTCCTTACCTGTACTGAAGAAGGCTGGATGATTCTCCCTTGAGCGTTACCCTCAGACTAAGTACAATACAGCCAACACCCCACTACTATGAGAGAAAATGGAAAGAGAAAGCAAGAGATGGAAAACAGGCTTAAGACTCTGAAAGTAGAGTAATACTACCGCTGCCTTTGAAATGATGGTTACAGGAACAGGATGCCTCCCAGGCCCTCAAACAGGCCCTCCCAGACCGCATATTATTTCTCTCAGGGCAAATATGTGACAACCTTGTGTCTCCAGAATGATGAGTTTCGCAAGAGGTGAAAACATTCCTACCTGTTAATTTAAGTTAAAGTATGTTCCCTTAACAGGTAATTAACAGATTTTATTCCAAGTAATTTTCTGACAATATAAATGTTCATTCATGATGTACTGTAAATACCAGCTGGTGTTTTGAAATGAGTGGGGAAAAAAAGAAATGGAAGAAGGCAAAATGGATTTGCAAAGTTTTGATACAACAATCTCTGTTTCCAGTGAAAGAAAATATTTGTATTTGTGTTTTTACTATACTTAAGTGTTATTTTGTAAGATTTGTACTTTACTCAAGTACAACTTGATTGAAATTGAATACTGGTATCCTTCTTTTTCTCTTCTTTATTTGTGCAGGCTTAACTATAGAGATCACATCTATAATTAGAAAGAAACTGGATATTCAGTTTCTTGAACAATTACATTGGGTTACACACTTTCTTAAGTCAGCATTATTTAAACATATCTGCATATTAACAATGTAGAAATGGGAAACATTCCATGTAGCACATTTAAACATTTTCTACCTTGTATATATCCAAAAAACTCTACGAAAGAAAATCAGAAGAAAACCAAGAAAATCTCTTATTAATACAAAACAATCCAAAGTTATCAAGTCCTCAAAATAAAAGTCTCTTTATAGAGATTATTTTTTTCATAGCGAATACACGTTCAGAAGATCTGTGACACTCAATATACTTCATAGATATATTTCATATATGTTTAAGGCTCAAAGGCTGGTGATTTCGTGTTCTTTAGGTTCTCCCAGGTTCTTCTGGACGGAGCCACCCAGGTGGAGAATGGAATCAGAATAACTGGCGATATACTGCAAAGTAACAGAAGAAAAAATAGCACAGTAAGTTATGTACAATGCTGTGAAAAATATTTGCCCCTTCCTAATTTCTTTTTTTGATATTTGAATTGAATGTTCCGGATCATCAGACTGCTTTTAATATTAGACAAACATAACCCAAATAAACACAAAATGCTTCATGTTTTTAAATGATGATTTCATTTATTGAAGGAAAAATGCTGTTCATCCCTTGTTGGCCCTATGTGAAAAAGTAAGTGCCCCCCCACACCCCCCAGCCATCCAACCACCCGCCCCCAGGTACTAAATCAACCAGTTAATCAAATTCAGTCAAACATGGTGGTGGTAGTGTGATGGTCTGGGGCTGCTTTACTACTGCAGGATCTGGACAACTGGTCATAACTGATGGGATCATTGCAAATTCTGCTCTCTGTAAGTAAATCCTGAACAAGAATGTCCACCTGTCAGTTTGTAACCTAAAGCCCAAGTGCACTTGAGTTATATAGCAGAATAATGATCTGTAGCACACAAGCAAATCCATCTCTGAATGGCTCAAAAGAAACAAAATTAAGGTTTTGGAGTGGCTGAGTCAAAGTCCTGACATGCTGATGCAAGACCATAAAAATGCAGTTCATGCTCGAAAACCCTCCAGTTGAATTAAAATAATTCTGCAAAGAAGAGTGGGCCAAAATTCCTCCATGGCGATGTAAAAGACTCTTGATTGCAGTTGTTACTGCCAAGGATGGCACCGTCAGTTATTAGGTTTAGGGGGCAATCACTTTGTCACATGGGTGATACAGGTTTTGAATAAATCATTATCTTCCATAAATGGAATGCTGCATTTTGTGTTTATTCATCTTGTCTTTATCTTATATTAAATTAGTTGGATGATCTGAAATACTTACATGTGACAAATTAGCAAAAAATAGGAGCTTCAGCCAAAAGAGGGTTAAAACAACTACCTGTCTGTGTTACTGTATATGTGTGGTAAAACTCAGGTATGGTTGTTTATGTGTATATTGTGTAAGTGTGGTAAACTCAGGTATAGATATTCGTGTTACTGTATACGTGTGGTAGAAGGATGCCTTCCTGGTAGCCATATACGCCAGAGAGACTGAGAGAAGGCCTGAAGAGAGCAGGCCTCAGGGACTCCATATTGAGTAAACCCCATTTACGTTTTGGTTTTGCGGTCACGTGTAAATAAAGCACCTTTGGATCACTCGCGTGGTTGTCTGTGTGTGTGTCTCTAAGCTCTCGTTGGGTTTCCCAGTCAGTGTGCGTCGGCCCCTTACCCAGCCGTGCCACGCTATGTTACCGTATAAGTGTGGTAGAACTAAGGTAAGGATGTCTGTTGTTGTATAACTGTGGTAGAACATAGGTATAGATTTCTGTGTTACTGTATAAGTGTGGTAGAACTCAAGAATGGATAACTCAGCACATGTGCTGGGGTATGAATCTCTGTGTTACTGTATAAGTGTGGTAGAACTGAGGTATTGACATCTTTGTTACTGTACAAGTTACTGTTCAGTCCTGTAAAGCCTGATTCGGTTTCCAGTTAACAGTGATGCGAAGGTCATATACATAAACATGCTGCAAACAAAGTGGACCTTATTTCATAAACATACCTCCTGGGCTAAGTCCACTGACCCTAGCACTGCCCATGATGAATACTCACCCACTGTGTTTGCTGCTGGAGTTTGGTAGATCATCCTTGGCTGAACCATAGGCTGGATCGCACCTAGGGGCTGGGCAACAGCGGGTAGACCTCCGGGCTGCATTACGACCTGTTGCTGAAGCATAACTGGTGGTTGAGCAGCAGATTGGATTACAGGAGATGAAACCCCAGCTTCAAACATCATTGCGGCATTTGAAGCCTGGATTACGGCAGGTTGAGCTGGCTGTTGAATCACTGCAGGCTGAGGTGTGGGCTGGACTGCAAGATTTTGTTGAACCACCCCTGAGGAGTCGTAAAAGAAAAGCACTCACATCAGTGTTATATTTGACTGGATAAGATCTGGAATTTTTGAATAGTCATGAAAATTAGAACAATTAAAATGTAAAAAGAATAATTACCATAGTAAATTCGAATTTTTGATAAGAAATTAAGATTATTTTTCTGATGTTACATGTTCTCATATTTAAGGACCAGGAGATGTCTGAATATTCCAGGAGGATAAGATGATGGATGAATGAATGAATGAGATGTCTGAAATCTGTTCTCCACCAGAGGGCACTGTAGAGCCTGTTTCTTACGTTTTGGGTCAGTCCAAAGCGGGAAGCACAGAAAACTACTTCACCGCCTAAAGGCTACCATCACAGAAAAGCGCAGCTGAACAACAAGCTCAACTCATTTTACAATGTACTCATAAAATGTAATGGAATAAAACTTGAAACCCCAGTGAATTTATCAGCTTTTGTATCAGCAAACTAACTCTTCATAAATTTGCTGTTTTGGTGAAATAAATTACAGTGCAACTAAGTATCTTCACACACGGTAAAACACAGCATTTGTTTGTTTATCTTAATTAATTCAGATTAGCAGTCCTTTCATGTAAATCTCTAGCCACTTGTCACCTACTGTGGATTCTGAGTTTAATGTAGTACAGTAATGGTAAAAATTGGTACTTTTTTGGACAGTGCGTAAGTCCATCTGACATGTATGGTAGTCTGTAGCCTAAAGAATCCTAAATATTTTTCTAAAAATACCCTACAAATTTGAATATCAAATTTATCTGAAGTGCCCATCCATAAATGTTGAAATGAAAAGATATAAAGCATTTAAAAATAAATTTACATTCAAAAATACATGAAATAACAAAACGTGTAGTTTAAACTTACATTCAACCTAAAATATAAAACAGGACAGGATGTTATCATGCGAAGCGCTGCTTTTATGAAGCATCAAAAGCTATTTGACTGCTTAATGCTGCCCTCTTGGATGTTTAGCCTGCTAAACATGAGTGAGTGAGTTACACGCCAGTTTTATAAGGTGCTTCATGTCTAAAAATCATAAAAATTTTAAAGATTGCTTCAACGAAAAAAAAGTGCAGCACTTTTATCTAAATGAGAATAATTATTTCTGACCGAAACAAGAAAATTCTAGTTATTCATTTTTTTGTTTCTGAATTGAGATGTGTAATTGTGACCACAGCTTCATTTTTACTAGGTGTTATTATATGAGTGCTGGAGGTGGGTGTGCAGACCTGCTGCTACTTGTTGTGTGTAGTTGGGTGATTGGAAGGTCGGAGGTGAGTATGGTGGAGGAGGTGGGTACCCACACTGTTGGGGAGCATATGATGGAGAAGATGTGTTCTCCATACTGTAGAAGAGAAAACAGAAGACTCACACTATTTTATATTTCAGAGCTGCTGAATAAGAAAGGGGTTTAGTTCCACAGTCTACCATATGATCCAGCTGCTGCTGTTGCAATACAAATGTGAATGTGTGCGATATTAAGACTTCTACACGCAGACCACGATGTATGCGTACAATTAATTTTCAATAAATTAATTCAAACACATGAATAACTGATATCTTGCAGACCCCATACACTTTTTTTGGAACAACAAAATAGCAACTGTAATCTCTTCAAAAAGATTAGGCTGGCTTTACATGGTGAAACTTTCATGCAGCTTTAGTTGAGATAGGCTCCAGCACCTTCTATGACCCAGGAGATGATGATGATTGATATTGCACCATGAAATTCTTAAGTTGAAGAGAAATTAATTTGCAAGCAACTCACAACTTGCAACTAGCTGCACATAAGGTTCACTGTGTAAAGCCAGCTTTAGTTTATCTTTGCTTTATGGTGTGGAGCTGCATTTTCAAAAGCAGCTGAAACTGTGTTAGGGTAGTCGGTTAATTTGAGGATGGTGTGGGTACAGTCTTGGGTAATGTGGTCATGGGATGGGTATCTTTGGGTAATTTGGGGTTGGGTACAATGTTGGGGTAATATGATGGGGTACAGTGTTAGGTAATTTGGGTATGGGGTTTGTACCATTTTGGGTAATCTGGGGATGGGTGCAGTGTTGGGTAATGTGGGGAAGGAGGGTACAGTGTTGGCTAATGTGGAGCTGGGGTACACTGTTATAGGAGGTATGGTGTTGGGTATGTGGGGATGGGGTACGGTGTTCAGCAATGTGAGGATGAGGTATGGTGTCAGGTAATGTGGAGATGTGGTACAGTGTTGGGTAATGTGGGTATGGGATGGGTATGGTGTTGAGTAATGTGGAGATTTGGTATGGTGTTGGGTAATGTGGGGATGGGGATACGGTGTTGGGTAATGTGGTTATGGGTGGGTACGGTGTTGGGTAATGTGGTTATGGGGTGGGTATGGTGTTGGGTAATGTGGGGATGGGGATACGGTGTTGGGTAATGTGGTTATGGGGTGGGTATGGTGTTGGGTAATGTGGTTATGGGGTGGGTATGGTGTGTAATGGGGGATGGGGATACGGTGTTGGGTAACGTGGGTATGGGGTGGGTATGGTGTTGTGTAATGGGGGGATGGGGATACGGTGTTGGGTAACGTGGGTATGGGGTGGGTATGGTGTTGGGTAACACACCTGAAAACACTGACATACCTGATGTTTGAGTATTGAATTGTTTGTGTGGTGATGATGCTTCCCTTCTCAGAGCTGACGGGAGACTGTAAGTAAACAGAGGTAAAGTCGACTGTGTGGTAGATGAACAGATACATGCAGAAGCGGAATGGGCTCTAGCAGCATTCCAGAACAGGTTTCTCTCACTGCTTTTACACAGGGAAGTGAATGCCAGGAAAGCAGTTAAGCATTTGTTCTAGCCATTAATTCTCCAGCTCAAATTCCATGTTTTTGTTTTGTAAGTGAAAAAGTTCACACTTCCTCTACAGAGAACTCCAGCTGCGAGAAATAATCGACTTTATCAATAACACCGATAATAAAAAAATTGATGGCAACGAATCAAGTTATTGTTTAGTTGGCTTAATGACGTTGCAGGTCCCATTTACATCGTGATTGAACGAGGGAAATAAGGATTGCAGAGATTCTGATTCTGTTTTAATTTAGCAGACAGAATCAGCAGCGCTGGCTGAAGAGATGAGCTGGAAACTGTTGGTCTGAACTGCACTCACTGCTCTGTAATGTTTATATTATTTTATGTTTATTAGAGTTTCGGAAATGTGACTGTGACAAACTGTTGGCGTTATTTAACAATTCAAAGTCAGTACTTTTATCAGTCAGTAAAGCACTATTTAACTAAAATTATTGGAGTGTAAAATTTAAATCTACAAAATAAATATAAAATTAAATAGACCAATAATGTCATTTGTCAGAATTTTTAGTGCTTTAAAATCGGTATTGGTCACAAAGTTGTCATATTGTTTGAACACTAATATAAACCCATCCTCACGGGGCTTTACCTCAACAACAGCCTGCTGTGGTTGGAGACTTGGCTGAGGGAAGCCCCCCTGCTGTACACAGCTGGGGTGTTGAGGACTCAGAGGTTGTCCTGGAGGTCTGAGATAAAGAAAAATATAAACTATAATAATTTAAAACATTTTTTTTACAGTGCAGTTTGACTCAGTTTGAAGTCCAGTAAATACTCTAATTAATACAACGAAGCAACAGTTCACTAATCAACAGGTCTGACTTCAAATGACGTCCACGCTGTTACGTTTCTACAGTGTGTTATCATTGTACATGAAACTGTCAGACATGAGAAAGAAAATACACTCAAAAAGCTAACTATTAAATAATGCACTGATTGGATTAACAATCTGTCAGTAATCCCAATAAGCAAATTCTACTTACAGTCCATTCCAGAGTTATTGGCACCCTTTATGAAAGTGATCTTAAATCAGTATATAAACCACACATGCAGTAATTGGTGTTGTTGGCTTAAACCAGGTGTCGGCCACCCAAATGTTAAGAAGAGCCATTTTGTCCTTTCAATAAAAATCTAACCACTTCGGGAGCCTCAACATTTTATGTTCATTTTACCATCCTGGCTGTAAATATGTCTCAGTATGTGCTGATGTGCTAGTACTGGCTAAAAAACATAAACGAAAACGCCTTACTTTGTTCTGCTTTAAGCTTCAGCTCTGCTATAGCTGCTTTTCTCATATCTCTCGCAGGAAACATTTCCTCAAAAGTAGAAAAGCTTCTTGAAAATGTCTCTCAAAGTTCGACTTTTTACAAGGCTGAAGTCACTTTTCGTTCACAGTTTATTGTTTGAATTTTCCTGTTCCGCCTTAAATGGTGCCTGAGACGCCATCATGTAACTCCTGCACCATTTAAGGTGGAACAGGAAGATTCAAATAAGAAACTGGCAAACGAGGAACTGACTTCTTGACAGTTTCTCGTTGCAGATTAAACGTATCAGGAAACCAGCTGTGTGCTTGTAAACGCAAATAAGTCCATTTGTCTCCAAATGATCGATGTTCGTCTTAAATCTTTCTTTTTGACGTTTTGTTAGCTACTAGCCAGGCAAGATTGTTTTCTGTGTTGCTATGTGCGCAGCAGTCTACAACTACAGAGTTTTGGACCATTTATTGTTAAAACTGTGTTGAACGATCAGCAGAGCTTTATTTTACCACAAAGGAGGATTATTTTGCTGTGGAGCCGCAACAGAGCAGTAAAAGCCGCATGGGGCTCTGGAGGCGCCTGTTGCCGACCCCTGGCTTAAACAAATGGCTAAGCTGCATATTTTTATTTTACCACTTGTTGAGGGATCTTGTTCCCTTTTCCAGTCCCCTGATATTCTTGCATCTTTGCTTGTGGACTGTTCTCTTCAGTGCATACCACAGGTTTTCAGTTTGGTGGGTACAGTGTAGTGGGTAACACCTCTGACTCCCATGTTGTACACTGAGGTTTGAGCCCCTGTCTGGGCAGGCACCCTATGCTATACCAATAAGAGTCCTTGTGCAAGACCTCTGGTAGTACCATTGCCTACCTATGTAAACAATGATCAAAATAAGAGCATCTGCAAAATGCTGTAAATGTAATCTTAATGGGAGATCTTGAGACTGAGTGGGCCACTGCAAAACTCTGTTCCCATAACTTTTTCTGTGTGGATTTTTATATGTGTTCGGGGTCATTATCTTGCTGAAATATCACCCCACAGCCAAGTTTCAGCCTTCTGGCAGAGGCAGACAGATTTTGGGCCAAGATATCTTAATATTTACGGGAATTCATTATGCCGCTGATGTACACAACAGCCCCTGGATCACTAGCAGCAAAACAGCCTCAAAACATTAATAATCCACCACCAAATTTGACAGTGGCAGGTGGCAGGTGCCTTTCATTGCATGCAGTCCCCTTTTTTAATCAAAAGTGACGATGGGGTCCATGATCAAAAAGTCGTCCTCCGGGAAATCCACACGCTAATCTGGTGAGTGTTCCCACGAAGGGGTTGGTTTCAAAGTCTGTACTCGCTACCACCAGTTTTTGTCTCATCTGAACACAAAACATGGATTCATTTGTATTTCCAATGACATTTTGTAATGTTTAGGAACTGCACTTTGTGGCTTGCTTGTTGGAGGGTTTCTATTGAGGAACTCTTACAGAAATCTTCTAGTCATGGAGGTGAAATTTTGAAATTTGAAAATCCCAAGATTTAACCAGCCTGTGCAGTTGTGAAACTGTGGTTTTTGTGTTGCGCTTTGCCTTTCTTGCCATCTGTACATGGGAGCAGTATGCTGATGCATCCTCTTGGCAAAGCTTCAACTGCTCCATGCTTTTCACACTTCTTTATTATGGCCTTGACTGTGCTTAGTGGTAATTTCAACGGACTACTACTGTTTTACAGTCTATTCTGTAGAGCTCCACGGCCTTCTGTCTCAGTTGAGTTGACAGCCTATTGGTTTTACCCGTGTTGATGGAAGACATAGTTTTTCATGTGTGTAACCTCATATTCATACCCCAAAGAAATAGGAAACGGACAACAATAGAGTTCTCAGAGACTTGCAGCAGAAAGATTTTTCCCAAAAGATGCACAATTATTTGGTTTTATTTAAAATATTATTTGGTGGTGATCATTTTCTAATTATTTTAATACATAACATTTGTTCTTAAAATAAAACACCACTCTTATTGGAAAGATTTCGGTAAGATCTCTAAGATTTCTGTCCAGTTTATTAAGGCATGCTAATAACTCCGGAGGTGACTGTATATTAGTAATTTATCATAAAATCACGTCTTTTCTCTCAGTTTTTAACCACCAGACATTTGTCTTTCTTTCTCTTTCTCTGTCTCTTTGTCGCAAGACATCAGTCTGATAAGCAGGTCTGGTGTCATTCTTTTATGTCAGGTCACCAACCAAACTAACAGATAAGGCATTATTAGTAAAAGTGAAAGCATGCAGTGTCATTTTACAACTAACTTTTTATGACTGTAGACAATCTACAGTCTATTGTTCATTTATTCTTATTTATGTACTAAAATCATTTTTAGTCCCTCATAGAGAAAAAGTGTTTACAAAGATATGAAGAAGCAGATTCAGCAGACTGCCAACCCTGGAAAAAGCGATTTAGTGTCTTTAAATTTCCTTGATTTAAATGTGTACATCATTTCCTCTTGAATAACTCTGTCCTTCAGTTTACTTACACTTGGCATAATTGTTCTGGTGTAGATACAGTTTTTTTTTCATGTGGAAATGAAGAATCTTTAAATGTAGTGAATTCAGTGCAGCAGTTTTTCAGACTCACACTCACACTTACCCTTGTTTTGTGTGTTCAGGATAGTAGTTGGGGTTTGTCGGATACTGGACGTTTGCATTGGGAGCGCCCTGTATGAGAGAGAGAGGGAGAGAGAGAGAGAATTGGTTTGAGGAACATTCCAGTTGTCGCCAGTTGATTTTAACCCCTCACATTCATATGACAGTTATGAGATTCATTTTATAGTAATCACCCAATAATTTATAGCAGTTACTGTTTATTTCATGTAAATCAGCAAATAATTAATAGCAATTACTGAACAATATGTCAACATTACTGAATATTTTATAGTAGATACTGAGTAATTCATAGTATTTACTGAATAATTTAGAGTAGTTATAACTCATAGAGATTATTTAGAACAATAATTCATAATGGTTATAGAATAATATATATAAAGTTTTATAACTGGATAATTAAACCACCGATTAAGGGGAAAAATGCAGCAGAACCATTAAAAGAGGTATAAACATCTGCATAAAGCCGCTCAGCGGGCTTTACCTGAGCATTGACAGGGTGCATGTACGCTTGTTGCTGGTTGACGAAGGCTCCCTGATGTACAGCATTGGGGTACTGGAGGCCCACAGGTGGGCCAGGATACGGGGGAGCTGATATGTTCTGCATGCTCACACAACTAGAGAATAGCAGAGGGAAGGATGAGACTCACACTTACTTATTTACCTTTATGTCTTATTGTCTGAACCCTTAACGAAGTGCATTATATTTAAATTTCATTCACATTCTGTATCGACAGTTTGGAGTCTGCACTTCTGACTTTATACTGTTTGTTTTGATGTTAAAAAATGAACAAAAACTTTTCCTCAAATTCAAATCATAATAAAATATCTCCCCTTATATTTACAATCTCAAACATGGTACGGATTGAAAGGTCAGGACCTGCACTTTAACATAACATTTTCACAACAATTGCTCTGCTTGTTTCAGTGAGCTGCAGCGAGTTAAAATGATAGCTCTTCTTTTATCACCACTGATAACTGCAACTTCAAAATGTAATTTGGGGGTGCCTAAACTTTTGCATACAACTGTAAGACCGTATTTGTCTTTGTCTCTTGTTCATTCCGACTTTCTCTATTGTTCTGCTATTGTTGCACATTTCAAGTATCATCTGGTTTGCATGACGTTGCAGCGACACAGCTTTTTCCATTTTATTGCTATTCTAATTCTGTGTATGGAACTGATAGATAGAGATGTGGTTAAACACAATAAACTTAAACAAATGGCAAGTTCTAATTATGATTATATCAGCATATAAAACCTGATTAATTATTTTAGTTCACTTTATTTTTTTACCTGAGCACCAGCACCAACAGAACACCACCATGCACACATATATATGAACAGTCCCATACCTGTGTTTTCAGGGTTGAGAAGTAACAGTAGTGATTTTGATGTTTCCCTCGTGAGAGTTACCAGGTGAGTGAAAGAAAGAGACTGAAAGGAAGATAAAATGAGACAAACAGATGGACAGATAAAAAGAGAAGTATAATGGCTGCAGGAAAGACGTCATTGCAGTTTTTTGGTGGGGAGTAATGTCAGTAAAACACCATTGCAGTTTTGTTCTGTTTGCAGTGCATTGACCAGCTGTTTAGGAGTTGCTAGGATATTGCTAGGTGGTTGCTGTTGTCCCCAAAGTGGTTGCTAAGTTGTTGCTAGGCCGTTGCTATAGTATCCCAGGTGATTGCTAAGATGTTGTTAGGTGGTTGCTAAGTTGTTGCTAGACTATTGCTATGGTATCCCAGGTGGTAGCTATGGTGGCGTTAAGTAGGTGCTATGATGTTGCTCGGTGGTTGTGAGGGTATCTAAAAGGGTTCTTAAGGTGCTGCTAGGTGGACGCTATGGTATTCTTGGTTGTTGCTAGGTTGTTGCTGTGGTGTCCTACATGTATACTAGGATGTTACTAGTGTGCTTTTTAGTGGAGTGCACAAACTTTTGGCCACACAATTCCAGCATTTATTCCTCTGGTTTAAAAAAAAATCATCATTTAGCAGTCATGGTATGAAAACTGTACATTTGATAAAAAGCTGTGTAGAAGCACATCATTCCCAAGCAGACCGAACATTCTGGAGTTGGAACACTGCTGATATCTCAAAAACTGCAAGAAAAGATAACATCGACATACATTGCAAAGCAATGCACAGTCACTAATTACATGACTTTTACATGGCTGCAAAAATTTTGCAGCAACTGTTTGCCTTAACCTCTTTTCACAGCAGGCACAGAATGCAGTTTTAGCCTGTTTTGGAGGTCCCTCAGTTCAGCTTTGAATTGTAATATTTTTAATTAAATTAGTTAAAAATGTAAAAAAATATGATTTATATTTTATTATATTTTGAATTAAAGTGGTTTATTTGGCTATAATATGAAAAATAGTTGGGGCTCCAATACCCCGATGTAATTTTCCAGACTTTTTGAATGTGGGATCTCTGATGCCGTTGCTTGCCCATTTACAGACTCTTCTCTGGTAGATTCCTACAGTGAGAAGATCTGTCCCTGTGACTTTCTGTGACTGTGCTGTATCTGACCTGTGACACTCGTTTCTGAATATTTTGTTGTTCACTGTTCATTTCTCTCCAACTCTCACATGTGTGCCTCTCATCACTGCGATCTGACCAGCATTCCAGAGTGAACCACACCTGTAGTACAGGTCTTACAGAATCCCTAACATTGTGTATATGTTCAGTATTATTTGGAACAGTTCTAGTGTGTTGTGTCATTGCATTTTAAACATGTTTAGTATTTAAGAGGGTTGATTTTAGAAGTCTAAATGTCTGTATCATGGCAGTGTACGCATGTGTAAGAGGGGTAGGCAGCAGGGGGAGGTTGCACCAGCCAAACATAAGTTCAGACTTGTTGGCTAGTTGTAACACAATTGTTTACTGAGTTCTGGTTTGCACGTTACTACATCAAAACGGGTTACACCACACACACTAGTTTTAACATTGAGCTTAGTATCTACTAAATATTTACATATATTTAGTGTTAAGGGAACCAATTGAAACCACTTTTTTTGGTAAACAAAGCTAAAAACACCAAATGCTATACGCTGTGATTTTACTCACAGCTCTAATCATCGCTCTGGTTTTAGCTCTGAACATGAAGCTGAGCACCCATAGCTCCAGCTCAGTGAGACTCAGCAGCTGCTCAAACATCTAAACTGATGCTGCTGCTGTGTCTGTTGGTCAGAAACCCTTGTTTAAAGAAGCTGCATGTTTGGTTGTCGCAAAGCAATATGAACTAATTCAGACAATGGCATTGTACTATTCTATACTGGAGATTTCTCCATGGAAAAAGTCGCTGTGTTTCCATGGAAGCATGTTTATAGATTGGTTCTAAACGTGTTAACATCCTGTTAAAGCGATGTGCACATTAGTTTGTCGTTACTAGACTTTATACCCAAACTTATGCAACCCAGTCCAGGACGGTTAAAGTCTGAGGGGGTACAGGACTGTAAAAACTTTAGGAACCATCATCTTAAAAGAACCAAGCACCACTAAAGGCTGATTTAAGCCTCTCCGAATCTGAACTACATGCCGAGCAAGTCTGCAGAGCTGTGCCTCAAGCAGACACCTGTTGGCTCTCCAGTAGTTTTGGTGGTGGGACAAGAGCCAAATAATACACAACCCCAACCAGAAATAGTGCAAAATCAAAGGGAACAGTTTGAGGGTGGGTTGGCAGAAGAGGCGTGACATTACAAACATTTATACGGCTCATAGTTTGGTGTGGATGCCGTCCCTTAGCGCACACATTCAAGACAATATGTATCGTTATTGTGATAAATTACATCAGAATATGCTTTTCTGAGCACATTGTGGATATCTGTACTTGAAGAATGCTGACCAACTGCTTGTTTCATTCCAAAGAGAGAATGATTAGTCCTGTTTAATTGAATTTATTGCAGTGCAGTATGAGAAACATTGAATAAAATCATTGTACGTTGCAGTTTTTAATACTAGTAAGTTAAATGTGACACTATTAGTGTTTTTCAGTCTGTTTAAGTCATGTATTGTGATACTTGTTGTTTATCAAGAAAATGTCCTCAAGTGTCATGAAATTACTTTTTTTTTCACATTCAAGTAAGTTGGCAGACACCCGTGCATGTTTATAGATACACAGACGCAGAAGTATCAGCCTTAACTCAAAGTATAAATGACATACAACTGCTTACTTTAAACATTTAGGCTGCATTGACATCAGGAGCTGCTCAGAAGCTGACCACAAACAATCGTTTACTTTGTATTGGTAATACAGATTAACCTGATCAGAGGCATGTTAGTCGGTTGAGCATGAAAAATGTCTTTATTTGAGGCAGGGGTCATTGTCACAACAGACTGCAGTCAAAACACAGGCAGGTATAATCAGAGACAGATCCAAATAAAGAAAAAAACAGAAAGACCAGCAACACAAAGAAAAGAGGCTCAGAACTCAGGTTATCAACACTGAGACCTCACAAAGTAACAGGGAAAACAAAGGGGTAGATGGAGGAGTGTTAATTAGTCCTAGGCTGAGTCACAGGTGTGTGTGTAGCGGAGGAGTGAGTGGAGCTGGAAAAGACAGAAGCACATCTGTCTATCCATGTGCAGTACCGCACAGGGCCAGGAGGGGGTAGTTTATGACAGATAAACCTGAACACAAAACACTGTCATGGTTAGAATAACAAATACTTGCAAACTTTACAGTTAATCTGAAGAATAACGCCTTTACAACCCAAAATGTATTTTATTTGAAGCTGAAAAATAAGAACTCATTAACAGAAACCAACAAAACTGCTAAGAATACATCTGCTAATATGATATCATACATAAAACTGTTCAAACATTTCGAGTGTCAGTAAATCTATCATGGACCTCGGTTTCACAAACTCTAAAAATTGTTGAACACTCTCAACATGTTCACTTCGGCTTGTACAGGCGCCAAAACATAATTGTGGCACCGTTTAAGGCGAAATGGAAAATATTCTAAACAAGCTAGTAAGTAGGAGACCAGATCTTTAAGAGGATCCCAGACAACTTTAAATTGTAGTTGTTAGCAACATGAAAGTAGCCATTCTGTGTGGTTTTATCCACTCTTTGACAGTTGAAGCCAGATCATCTTAAAGTTTCATGGTGAGGTAACAACTGTGATTTACTTTGTGTTGCTGTCGAGATGAAAAGTAAGCTGCTACTATAGGCTGAGTTATAAACTAGCAAGTTCCAAGTAACTAGCATAGCTAACTAAATAGTGACAACCTTGTTTATTTACACTGAGGTTCCTTTCATTTGTCTACCTGTGTCTATTTCGACATGCTTCTGTATGAGCCATCGTGGTGCCACATCCCCCGTGACCCAGGAGGACACGCGGCCTAGATAATGTGTTTCTGCCATTCTGTGGCACATTTAAGTTTACTTTTATTCAGTGCAATTAATGTACAGTCAAATGCAAAAGTTTAGACAGCTCTTTACAGAGATTATACTTTAATATGACAGTTTTCTGCTAATTTTAATACACAATTAATACACAGTCAGACAAAGACTTCCAGAGATTTTCACTGTTATGTACAACCAAAGTAACTATTGTCGCTGTGTTTTCCAGTTACTAAATTGTGTTATTCACTTTTTTTATCTTTCTCTTAGTGGCTGTAATATGGCTATTTTGAATTTTGAGCCAGCAAGGCTGATGCCCAACCAACACACGGCAGGGTTAGCTTCACAACTAAGACCCCCAAAGTCCCCCTCCCCCAAGAACTTTTTAATCACAGAATAAAAAATCAAAAACACACTGTGGATTTCATGTCAATAAAACAAGCTTACAGTGTGTTCTGTAGAAAATAAGTTGATATTTAATTAACTTTCACTTTCCATGATCATATTACATTAAAAGTCTTGTGAAAGTGTGAAAGCGATAGCACTTTAGCCTTTACTAGCGTTTGAAACTGTAGAGTAATGGAACAAAATCTACATTCCTGTAGCGCTGGAACGCCGTGGAACTCGCTCCTTCTCTGGACAGCCGTTTGACAGGTTTTAAAAGTTACTGAAAGCAAACATTCACATTCACAGTCTTCACGTTAGACACTTCAAAAGAGATTAAATGCATATTAGGTTTCGAAGGATTAAGGAAAGCTTTGTATATTTTTGTAAAAAAGAAGAAATTGCAAGAACTATATAATCTGCTGTTTATCTGGCCGGTGAGCATTTACTTGTTCAGAAAGAAACACAAACAAATAAACATTGTAATAAACAATGTGATGTGTGGAAGTGTGTTAGTCAGGCCTGGATCTAGTGTTGTAGCGCTCGAAACCGTAAATCAAGCATGTCAAACTGGGGACCTTCCGGGCCAAAGTGCTACGGAGATCAGCGTTTACCCTCATCTAATGTTCTGAATTCAGTTCATGAAGGCCTTGCTAATTAGCTGCTGCGCTGAATCAGGTGTGTTTAATGAGGCGGTGAGCTGAAGTCTGCAGTGTTTTGGCCCACGAGGACTGGAGCCTGACACATGTGCCGTAAATTAACAGCCTCTGTCTTTTCTCAGTCTCAACATCGTGTGTACCTCAGCGATCTCAGAGTAAGGTGGACAGAGTGCAGGCTATATATTATTTAATATTTTATATTACAAAATATAATGTTATTTATGAATATGCATTATGCATAGTGAATGATACAATGAACAATGTACAATGAACTAGAAACAGTTTTCTCCCCTTCTTTTTCTTGACATGGAGTTGATTATCACAGTGGTTTTGACTCAGACTCGCCTACCACAAAGTTTCAGACTTGATTTCTATGCCTTTTAAACATATAATGACCTGCACATAATTCTAAAGCACCTGTAACACATATTAACCATTATAAAACATTACAGTATATTATAGGGTGCCCACTGACAGACACTTAAACAGTCCAAAATAGCATCATTTTAAAATATATTATAGGTGCTTTCCAGTTATGCTCAGGTCTTCATCTGCTTAAATTTAATCAGAAGGTAAACTTGTGTTACTACATGTTTATAAGTCACCAAAGTTTTTATAGTTCATTATTAAAGCCTTAAAGCATTATTAGAGTTTATAAATATGCTTACAAAGAATTTTTACCAAGTTACAGAATTATAAGTGCATTTATAATGGATTATGAATATTGGCTTCATAGAATGTGTTACCATTAAATCTGCTTTGGCCATATTGATCTAAAAATGTTATTAAACATTGTTAAAATACATGTCAATCACACATCCTGGTCATACATTTGCCCATGTAAGTCATCTGTAATTACAGAATAGGGCCATGTCTCTTGTATGTGTAGGTCAGTGATAAAAAGCTAGCCAAATGGACACGGCTCTGTTAACACATGGTCCTCATTCGTTTAGTAAAAGTAATGACTATAAGAGACTAGAAGGGGTGAGCACTGCTGTAAATGTCTTTGTCACAAACAAAGCGAGCATCACTTCACTAAAATACAGCTCTCGAATAGGACGGTGCCACAAAGTTGGACAGTGGTCAGTTTCGTTTGTAAATGTAGAGGACGTTCTTGCAGTTGGGGCAGGTGTGTTCCACGTCATGACAGGAATGAAACGGAACCAGACAGCACGGCCAAATGCTGTGGAGACACAACAGAGGAACAGTGAAGGTGCATGTGTGTCAATGTGAGAGTGAAAGTGGGTTTATTAGAGGTCTGGGTATTAAATTGAAGCCCGAACCCAACCCGTCCCCTTTGAAAACCGACTCGGGCCGGCCCAACTCGTACTGCTAAAATTTAAAACCCGACCTGAACCTGCTGTCATGCATGTTAACAGAGAGGGATCATCACGGACGCGATCTTCCTGCTCGTCGCTTTCTTATTAAGAGCTTGAGTTGATGTCATGCTGGGATCTGCTGCTGTTTTGCACATAAATGAACTAAGAGTATTGATTATCAGGAACTTTTTGTGGAGTTGCTGATTGTACCTGGCAGGGAACAGCATCTGCCCTCTTCTGAGCAAGGGTTAACATGAGCCACGCTGCGCTAAAGTCGCTTTTGCTGCTACTCTTGTTACTGATGCGGAAATGCTTCACAAGTGCTGTGACCTGGGGAGGCCTTCAGGGCTCTCCCAACTTCACCTGGAAGTACGCCTGTCCAGACATTTACTTTTACGGCATTTTAGCAGACTCTTTATCCAGAGCGGCTTACGATTTGATCATTTTACACAGGTAGGCAAAAGTAATGTTAGGAGTCTTGCCCAAGGTCTCTTATTGGTATAGTGTAGGGTTCTTGTTAATCAATCAATTAACCTTTATTTAACCTCGGAGAACATTGAGGGTTACCCTCATTTACAGTGTTGCCGAGTTGATACAGGAGAAAGGGATTAATAATGTGTAAGAACGCATCAAAGTAAATTTAATGATAAAAATGACGAATGTCAAATCAGTTAAGTATAAAAAAAACGAAGAAACATTAATAATAAAAATACAGAAAGAACAGTAGAAAATATAAAACAATAATTAAAGCGTAACTAAAAGGTAAAAGTTAATAAAATCAAAAAAAGTTAAATAAAACAAAAGGAGGAAAAGATAAAAAAAGAAACTAAGATTAAAATGACTGGAATATTAAAATGTTATAATTAAAACGAATAGGAATATGAATAATAATAAATAAACAAATAAATAGGAAAAAATAAAATAAACTAATGAAAATGAGACAATAATAGTGTAAATCAAGTAAAACAGTTGCAGGCAGAGTGGAGGTGGTTAAAGAGTAAAATTAATTGAAAATTAAAGATGTAAAAGTTTAAAATGTCTGAGTGACACCAGCGAGCTGAGCTTTAGTGCTAATGAGGTCCAGCCCGCTGGTGCTCTGTAGCTAAAGACAGATTTTCCAGGTTAAACTCTCTTAAACTCTGTGAATTTGGGAAAAGTAGGGAATGAGCACTTTTAGTTTTGATTACGTTTTCTTGGGTTTGTTAAGTAGGGAGTTGAGGTAGCTTGCTGTATTTTTGTTTTACTGTATTTTAAGGTTAAGTTAATTATAAAATGCTCAGTAGTTTTGTTTATTGTTTTGGCACATGCTCGTTCCTGTAGTAACTATCCCATCTAGTTTAACACTAACTTCCTGTTGAAACTTTGTAAGGAAAATATAAACACAAGCTGATTTCTTGTGTTATTTTCATACCTAGGCGAGGTTCAGGGCTCCCTCCCCACTTAGTGGCTTGGCGACCTGACGACCCCTGTCTGGGGTCAGACCATAACAGAACTACACTGTTCGAAATAAAGGTTCTGTGCAGGTATATTTTTCGTTCATCAAGGTACAAACAATGTCAATGTTCCCTCAAAGGTACAACAGAGGTTTTAAGGTCCAATTGTGAACCTAATTATGTTTTTCCAGGTGAAAAGTTCGTATTTGTATCTTTTCATAACCGAATGTTTTAAAACAGAACAATAAAATAAAAGTCCTGGAGACGAGACGGGGTGTGTGGAGTACAGCTTAGAATATAATTTCAATAGATTATGGTTCAGTTATGTTCCCTGACTAAAGGTACTGAGATGCACCCTTGAGGGAACCACCCCAGTGACGAGAGGGGTCCTGCCCCAGTGACATTTTAGTACCTTTTTTTCTGAGAGTATAGGGGCTCATCCGGGATATACGAGGTCGCCAAGCCACTACGTGGATGGGAGAGAGTTTGGTGGCGCCTTTTATACAGGAGGGTCCCCTATTCAGCTAGTCACGCATACTTCATCAGAAACACAGAAAACACACAAAGCGGCAGACAGCAGTTGAAGACCAGGGGTCGTAACAACAAATAAGTGGAAAGTTCACCAGCACAACGCATCCCTCTCATCCATGGATTCATTCAGGGGCACATTCACCCTGTCTTTGAAATCCAGAGCTATTCTAAGCGCAACTATAGTAAATACATAAGACCTACTTCATCAGAAAGCTCAAGCCTGACCCAAACACATGTGATATGTAAAAAATGAGCTAGAATCTGTGTTTTGTTGGGCCCCGTCAGGCTGGAGTTGGGTAGCAGACCTCTATGTGTGTGTATGACACATCTTACGTGAAAGAACAATGACTTCCAAAAAGGTTGCAGGCGACTGTCGTATCAGTGAGGAATCTTATCACCGTGACAACATCAAGCTGGCAGACAGGGCACCGGAACTGTCCAGGTATATCTGTCAGATTAGGCTTAGACACTGCCACACACACACACACACACACACACACACACACATTTCACATTAACAGCTAAAGCAGCATTCACATTTCCTTAGTTTATGAACAGTGATGATTTGCTTTGCAGTAAGGCTTGAATACACTGGTCAACTAATAAATCCACTAGTGGGCGCTGTGGGCAGCAGTTGACTAGACAGGGACAGCGCCTGAAATACAGCAGTGGTAAAAACTGCAGTGAACAGGCTGGAGAGGACAGAAATCAGTTTTTCTGCTTACCACAAAGCCCAAATTACTTTATTGGTGTGGAAATAACTACAAGTAATCAAAACCAGCTCCACTGCAAGCTGACTGTACTGAAATACAGGCTCAAAATTCAGACCAGGTACGTTTTGAGAACCACTGTCTCTGACAGGAAAGGGCAGTTTGACTGACATACAAAACAACCAATCAGACACAATATGTGCAATAACACTGTTAAACAAAGTGGCGTAGCGATCAGCACAGACACACGGATCTCATCTACTTGCTACCTACAGTTTCAAACTAAATTCAGGAATAAATGTTTAAAATTGAATATTATGAATGTCTCTGTTCAGCGACGAGGCCTGTATGTCGCTCTGAAAGGCTTAACGGTGAGTAAAGATGCATCCGCATATCTACGGATGCTAGTGTTTTGCTTCCTATCGGACTGATGAACCAGCGGACGGAAGCACAGATAACCAGAGCCTGTGAGAGGTAGTGGTGATTTCTGTGTGACGTTTACATCAGACAGTCTGTGTGCTTCTGTGTGCAGAGTGTCTGAGACTGAAACTTACTGAACTACAACATAAACTCTTCTTCATTGCACAAGCTCATTCAGATTCACATCAGTAAGAGCACATTTGTATTTGTTTAATCAGAATAATGAAAAAATGTCTCTGATATCTTGCTAATTAAAAATGTACAAATTTTCATCTTTGTTATGTTGCATTCTTTGCATATCAAATAAATTCCGTTAATAATGAAGTGCAGATTAAATGGCGGAAATAGCCATGTTTTTTGCACAGCTTTAAAGTGTTAATATGCTGATTAGTTGGATCGGGTGAATCACAGCAGGGAGAACACCCAAATTTGCAGGGCAGGGGGTCCCACGATCAGAACAGAGAAACATTGATCTAATTCTAGTTCTAACTAACTGTGAATTTAAACAGTGCTTTCCAGATTTCTTCCCTGATAAACCAGCACCTACTGTTTAATAAGCTGACTAGTTAAGACCTCATTCATATCAACACTAAAATGTAGTATAATAAAAAAAATGCTACAGAATTTTTTCCAAATGGTTTAAAATGACAAAATTTTGTATAGTAACACTTTGGGTGGCCACCTGATGGTGCATTAAACGACGTTTTACACATTTGCATTCTCTTCTAAATCTCAGAGCAAAGCACAAGTACACACTACACTGATTGTTTTTTTTTTTGGGGGGGTGGGGGGGATTTCCCCCCAAAAATTTTTACCCCCTCTGTCACACAAGATAAGGTGAAGGCTAGCACATTCCTCCTCCATGCGGGATAATTGGACAGCTCAGCGTACTTGGAAGAGAACGCTAAATGCCAATTCTGTTATGTCAGCTGACAGACACCCACATTGGCTAGCATCACACTGTGTGATGGGGAGAAGGAGGGTCTCCCTGCCCACTCAGAGAGAGCAAGGACAGTACTGCTTTTTTGGACTCCTGGCCATGGATGGCTTCGACCCTTTAGGGATCAAAGTTGCAACTTTCAGATAACAGGGCAGATGCTTTGGAAGGTACACACCAACAAACTATTGAACACTCACCCATACTGTTTACTACTACAGCTTGTTGAACTGCAGGCTGGACCACTGCTGGCACGGGCTCTGGCTGGACCACTGTTACCTCAGGCTGAACTTGCGTCTGTATTACTGGAGTTGGAGGTGCCGGCTGGACCACTGTTACCTCAGGCTGAACTTGTGTCTGTATTACTGTAGTTGGAGGAGCCGGCTGGATTACTGTTACCTCTGGCTGAACTTGTGTCTGGATTACTGCAGGCGTGGGTGCTGGCTGGATTACCTTTATTTCAGGATGATCTGGTACCTCTTCGTACAGTGGGTCATCCATTACAGCTGTGGAGGAGTGAGACACAAATCCATCACACAGAGAAAGGGGAACATGTCCAGGGGATCTCGAGCAGCCCCCAGTACAATATATTAATGAGCATCATGATTTATTTTTAAATAATTTATTTACTCTTTATTTTTGCTCTGCTACATGTTGATCTCTTCTTCTGACATGAATGAAATCAGCTTGCCAACACATTTTTACAGTGCAAGTCAGCTATTCCATAGGCGCTAATACACCCCTATACCATGGCAGACGCTAGCACTTGAACTTTATACTGGAGGGTTCTTTTTTCTTCAGCACAGAGAACATGACGTTCATAACTTACGTAAAAATAAACAATCTGAAAGGTTGACTCGTCAGACCACAGTACATTGTTTATCATTCCTTTTCTGGATGTTGTTGACATATGAATTCTGCTGTGCTCAGTACTGCCCTGCAGTATTTATTGACAGCGATTTATGAAAATTTTCCATCATGGAAGCATGAAACTTTTCAGCCTTTCAATCTTTTGTGCACCGTCAAAGGTGAACTACTTAAAATTTACATTACATTTATGGTGTTTGGCAGACGCTCTTATCCAGAGCCACTTACAATTTGATCATTTTACACAGGCAGGTGAAGGTAGGGTTGGGAGTCTTGCCCAAGGACTCTTATTGGTATAGTGTAGGGTGCTTACCCAGGCAGTGGAAAGAACCCCAGTCTACAGCATAGAAGGCAGAGGTGTTACCCACTACACTATACCAACCTTGCAAATGCTCTCTGAGGAATGTTGTTCTCGCACATTTTTTGGCAAAGAGGTGAGTCTCGACCCATCATTGCTCATGCGGGACTAGCTCTTTCCTGAATGCTTCTTTGGTATTCAAGCATATAAAATGGCATGACCTGTTAAAGATGTTCTTAAATATTGCACAACGTTCTTTGTCTGAAATTTCAGACCACAAGTTCTGAAGCGTATATTTACCAAATCCAGTGAAGTTAAAAGTGAAAGCTATTAAAACTCTTGTCTTTAAAGTGAATTTACAAACCACATTTTTTTGGTACTTATTTTCATTTTCCAATTTTTAGTTTGTTTACAGACATGAGACACTCAAGTGGTAGAGCAGAGTGTACAACTTCCATTCACAGTCAGAAGAGATACTGTATATCAGAGGTTATTGTAGACGTGCGGACTTGGCTGTACTGTTGTAAGAGGATAAACAGTTGTATCTGTGCCATCCTGACCAGCAAGTCTGGTGGCATTTAAGTCACAGTGTTAAATGACTGAATGTTTGCATGGTTTAAAATAGATAAAAGACATATATATATATATATATATATATATATATATATATATATATATATATATGTTTTGAGATGCTATACGCTTTCACTGAGCGATTTCAACAAGTACACTTTCTACACTTTCTATATTCTACAACATTCAACCACTGTACTGCTGTAGTTCAAATTTCAATCATATTCATGAATAATTTGCTAAATTTCATAGAATTAATATTCAGCCTCCTCTCTAAAACTCACAGTTCTCATTTGGGTAATATTGCCTTGTTTAACATTCTTAAACAACCCTAAAATAAATAATGTCCTTATCTTTTACAAACACAGATACATAAATGTACACAAATATACACGCAGATTCTCGCGGCTCACATACCTGCCTTTTGTGTGTTCCGCAGAGATTTCAGGAGATCTGGATTGTTAGTTTGTTCAGCTTTAGCTGCAATGCAGGACACACTTGCATGCCCACAACAGAGGAATGTGATTTATCTAACAGGGAGAAAGTGAAAGAAAGCAGAAGACCAAGATGGTGGGAGGGACAGTAGAGCAGAGTCACTTAGAATAGGGTATCTTTCAATAGACTGACTGATGACCACTAAACTGTCCATAGGCCATTTCCACATCTTTAATTGGAATTATTTTATAGCTGTTTATGTTTCACCAATAAACGGCCTTATCACTTCTGGTGTCCTGGACATGAAGAGTGAACTGCAACCCGCACAGCCAGTCAAGACTCATCAGCGAGCTAATAAATGGACTGTCATTGATTCATGCTGCATTCATTTTCTGATGTCCTGGTAATTTTAGGGTCTGTGAGACCAAAAAATAAAGGGGAATTCCACCAAACAAAGTCACTCAGAGTGGTTTGATGTAAAATGATTCACTGTAGAGAAACCAAGTCAGAATTGTTCACAGTGGTGGTGATAGGAACCAGAAGATCTGAAGAGTTGATTGAATTTTTTTTTATATGAAACGATTATGAATGTACTGTCTGGTGCCTGAAACCAGGGGTCACAATGTCTACAACACAAATATAGTCATTTTATTTATAGTTTATTTATTTATTTTACTTCTGAGTTTTTATATGTAATGTTGACAGTAAATCTGAAAAAAAAAGTTTTCTTTGGGGACTGTTTTTCTTTACCATTATTGTCTTGCACATATATTAGAGGCAAACTCTTCAGACGTCGATTCATTTTTCTAAAACGGAGCATTTCACACCAAACTACTCGGAATGACTTCGTTTACATTTTAATCGGTAGTAGCAACCCACCTGTTATAAATTTGTACTGGTTGATGGCCCTCTAGTGGCATGTGTCCAGTAGTCTAAGCTGATAACCTGCTCAGTTGCAAATGTGATTTATCTTAATGAAACACTAGCTTAGTACTATACGTGTACAGGAGAACTGGTTCCTTCTTATTGTCCTTTTAGCCATGTGTAGACCTGGGCAGAGCCATATATAACCCCATTTCCAAAAAAGTTTGGACGTTGTGCAAAATGTAAATAAAAACAAAATGCAATAATGTGAAAATCATTTAAAACCATATATTTAACTGAAAATGGAACACATATCAAATGTTGAAACTGAGAAATTTTATTGTTTTTTGAAAAATATTTGCCCATTTTGAATTTGATGCCAACAACACGTTCCAAAAAAGTTGGGACAGAGACAACAAAAGCCTAGTAAAGTTGTGTAAAAACAAAAACACCTGGTGGTTAATTGGCAACAGGTCAGTACCATGACTGGGCATAAAAAACATCTCAGAGAGGCTGAGTCTTTCAGAAGTAAAGATGAGGAGGGTTCACCACTCTGTGAAAGACTATGTGGACAAATAGTGCAGCAGTTCAAGAATAACGTTTCTCAACATTAAACAGCAAAGAACTTTTGCTTTTCATCATCTACGGTACATAATAACATTAAAAGATTCAGAGAATCTGTAGAAATCTCTGTATGCAAGGGAAAAGGCCAAAAAACAGTATTTGCTGGCCGTGATCTTTGGGCCCTCAGGCAACACTGCATTAAAAACAGATATGATTCTGTAGTGGAAATCACTGCATGGGCTCAGAAACACTTCTGAAAAACACTGTGAACACAGCTCATTACTGCATCCACAAATGCAAATTAAAACTCTAAAACATAAAGAAGAAACTGTACATAAACAGGATCCAGAAATGCTGCCACCTTCTCTGGGCCCGAGCTCATTAAAAATGGACTGAGGTAAAGTGGAAAAGTGTCCTGTGGTCCGATGAATCAATATTTGAAATTTTTTTTGGAGATCATGGACACTGTGTCCTCCGGGCTAAAGACCACTCAGCGTGTTATCAGGGCACAGTTCAACAAAGGAGACCCTGAACGATTGAGCAGCTGAAATCCTGTATCAAACAGAAATGGGAAAACATTTCACTTCCAAAACTACAGCAGTGTCTCTTCCGTTCCCACACGCTTACAGAGTGTTGTTAAAAGAAGAGGTAGGTAAACAGGCCCCCGTCCCAACTTTTTTGAAACATGTTATTGGCATCAAATTAAAAATAGGCAAATATTTTTCAAAAAACAATAAAATATCTCTGTTTCAACACTTGACATGTTGTCTTTGTACTATTTTCCTTTAAAATATTGTTTACATGATTTGCATGTAATTGTACATGTGTGTGTGTGTGTTGGGCCTACCTGTATGTTTTCAGCCCTGCCTTATAATCTACAGTGTCCTCCATAACATATGGAACAAAGGCATTTTTTATTTGCCTCTGTACTCCACAGGTAGCCTTTCTGGTTAAAGATTTTAACCAGATTTTAAAAATTATAACTGCAACTACGTCTCCCATAGATTCTATAAATTTAAGACTGAATTACAACAGTAGCTCAGTGAAAAACCCTGATTCTCAAAAATGTTCATATCTAGACATAAATAGACATAACTTCTAGTGGTACATCTAATGGATGTCTGTGCCTTTACCCAGGGCTGGGCCTTTGGCTTTTTTCTTTATAGGAAAGTCTGTCCACCGCCATCTTGGCAATGCCCCCAGACAGTAATTTTCAGTCTTACAAGACCAGCGACCATATTACAGAAATCTCTTAGCTCTGAAATGCTATTGCTATGCTGGAAGTTTGTGCTCTCTGCACAGAAAAAGCCAGGCGGACGAAAAAATGTGGATAAAGCCACGGCTGGAAACAGGGGGGCTTATACATACTGCAACGTGAATACATACATACACATACATGAACACATGAGGTGACTAGTTCTCGATTTAGCCACCATGCTTACAACTTCTCCCATACACACCGACAAGTTCAGTTCAGCTCAGCTTTTATTGGTTGACGGTTCTTCTGGCATTATGTTAACATCGCGTTTCACACCAGAGAATCGGCGTCCACCCCAAACGGGAGGATACCAAATCATAAATACTGAACATGTTTAATATTTACGATTCACAATAGGGGCGGCCCTGACTGCGCCGGGAGTAGATCAGAGAAATATTGAATTATAGACACCCTGAACCACAGGATAATCTGGGAAGATCATGCTCTCACTCGGTCAACTCGATATCTTCACTGGTGTATAAACCATAAAACCATTAAGTAAAAACTGCCAACAACAGCGAACATGACAAAGGCGAGTAAACAGAAAAAGACGAATAAAGAAAAGCAACCCAGTTCATGTTCTTTGCCATGTGTGGTCCGTGTTGTCTACCTGGCCTCTTCAGTTGCCATGGTTGCTAGCCTGCTCGTGCGTGGTGGCCTCCTCTGCAGTGAGGGGCTTTGGAGGCAGGCCTGGAGCACAGCAGAGAGGGAGGAAGAGGGTCCTGGAAGTTGTACTCATTCAAATTTTTAAGCCAAGTCCACTCTCTTCTCAATCCTACCTACTGTGGCTTTAACAGCCCTTAACTCTGTTAAACAGCAGGGGGCGCAATACTCCTAACTTTTCAGACTTTTTTTTCCAGTACATCACACGTTAGCTTTGTTTTGACCTCTTCTCCATCAGTAACAGTAGCTGTCTAACTAACTAACGTATAATTTTCTGTTATTTTGATTGCGTCTTTACGTTTCAGCTGTGCACGTTTCATCGGTTATTTGATTATCGACATGGCAGTAGATTATCAACCTCGATTAAGTAGTTTAAGATTTCCTATCTTGAGGTCAGATAAGACTTTGGAAGATGAAATTCCTAAATTAACGTTTGCTAAATTTGAAAATTCGTTAATAAAAAAGTCTTATCTCGACCTGACAGATCTTAGGACTACAGATAGGAAGGCTCTGTAATATGACCCGAGACTCCTTTCTCTTTGAATGAGAAAAAGATCTATAAACCTGAACCAAGAAACCAAACTAATGCTTCAAAAACGTATTTGAAATAGTAGAATCAGACAAAAATCACATTAACAGTTTGTACACTGTCAGAGCAAAAGGTACTATAGGGCTGGACAATATAACAGTGCATATCGTTATTGTGATAAATTACATCACAATACGCCTTTCTGAACACTGATCAACTACATGTTTCATTATAAAGAGGGTTTAACTGGATTTAGTGCAACACATTGAGCCAAATATTGACCAAAATTCATTATATTTACAACTTTTGATAGTATTTTTTAAAATGTAGCACTACTGCTTCTTTCACCTGATCAGATGTCTTAAAAATAAATATTGTGACATAGCAATCATCATAAAAAAAGTATCACGATATTTTTTGGCATATCGCCCACCTCTACTGTGCAGTTACATATTTCGTTCAAGCAGTGTAAATATACTGTTAAAGGTACAACGATGGTTTTAAAGTCCAAGCATGTACCTTGAATACGTTTTTTCCAGTGGAAAGCTACACTCAAAAAATTTAGTCTTGAATGAACTCAACGCTACACATTCAGATTCAGTCAAACAGAGTAGAGATCAGTATACACAGATGTTGTTACCTCAGCCTAAATATGTATAACATCTCCAGTAAACACTTTACTGCATGATTGGAAACACTGACGTAGAACCGACATACACTGTGACACAGTTTCCTTAAGGTGTTTCCTTGTGTGCAAATCCTTGGCATTTTTACTTAAACCAAAAATATGCTAAATATCTTTTCAGACTTCTTACTCTGTTGTCTGATGACTCATGGGCAACAGAGGAGCACATGTCTATGTGTCTATTCACCTTACAGCTGGAGTTTGTCTGAGTGAAAGTAGGGGGTCATTGCTGTCAAAACATATATATGTCCATTTTTGCTTTTATTTCATAATGCCAGCCTCCCTGTGCATTGTTTCAAAATTTCATGATGAATGAACCAATAGAAATGCTCCCAAATTGCTTGGAATAAATGATTTCTCCTTTAACTTCCATTAAAAGTTAAGAACCTTATTCCCTCTCCTGTAAAGCTTTTTTGGAGATGGAAAGTTTTGTTCTGACAGAAAAGATGTGCTCAATTATAGAGCAGGTACATTTTTAATAAAGCCTCATATGTCTGCATGTATGTGTGTCTGTAGATGTAT